GCCCGAATAAGCCGAAACGGACAGACGCAGGACGCACCGCCGGCAAAGCAGCCTCGTTCAGTTCTTCCTTGGAAGACGGAATGACGGGATCATCGGTCGGCAAAGACCGGACAAAGGCCGAGTGGGAGGGAGAGAGATGGCTGAAAAAGCAATCATGAGGTGATGCGGGAAACACTTTCCCCGGAGTCCGCGCAGCCGGACCGGTGCAGACCGGACCCGGACAGGACCGCAGTACGGCGGCCACGGCGGGCGGGGCTCCGGGTGGCTGGCCGGCTGGGCTTGCCGGCTGGGGCAGGGCCCGCCAAACTACAACGAGCTCCGGGCGGCCCGCACAGTGGGCCAGAAGACCGGTGGAGGCGGCAAAAACTCTAGACGCGTTTTGAGCTCCAGAGTCGCTAAATGGGACTCGAACCGAACGTGTGACCCCACCAATGGATTGCTCTCCGAACGAAGGATCCATTGGTGGGGTCACACGTTCAGTTCGAGGCCTGTTTAGCGACTCTGGAGCTCAAAACGCGTCTAGAGTTTTGGCCGCCTCCGCCGGTCTTCTGGCCCACTGTGGCCCGTCGGCCGGCACTCGGCGGCACTCGGCACGCAGGGCGGCCCGTCCTGGACGTCGTCCTGGACGTCCTGGACATGGACAGCCCTCGGCTCCACGGCCCTTGAGGGCGCGGCCGGATTCGGCTGGACTCGGCTCGGCCGGTAACGAGTTCCCAAGGATTAATCAAACGGAAGGACCGGTGACCCATATTCCGGGCGAAAATCTCGCGCAGGTGCAGGCCGGAGGCCGGAGGGACAAGACCCGCCCGAACGTAGGCAACTTGCAGTGTCCGACCAGCAGCCGTGCGGTGGACCCCAACCAGCGGCAGGGGAAGGCAAAGTTTTCACCGTGCCGGTGTTTGCCTTGCCCTCCCACCTCCCGCGTCTCGTCTGGACAAGAGTTTCCTCTGTTCTGAGAAGCCGGGGCGGCGGGGCGGCGCGGCGTACCGATACTTCGATACATCGAAACTCATACCGCGGCGCGCGTGGCCGTGGCTGGCCGCGGCGAGGAGCCAGAGCAGCGCAGAGCAGCGCCGGAGAAAAAGATGCTCAACAAGTTCCACTAAGATCGCTTGCAGAAACGGCTGGTGGAGGGGCAGAAAAAAAAAGAAGAAATGGAGACCAGCCCTGGAAAGGCGTTACGAATTGACTTGTTGTAAAAGCGACGGGCTCCCGACGTGGTTCAGAAAAAACGTGCCTTTTCCCCGTGGAGGCTGGAGGCGCACACAGCTCGGCAAATAATACTACTCTCGCGCCCCACAGGCAGTATCTGCAGCAGCAGCCTGACGACAGGGGTCCTGGCAAAACACGCGGCCGACCGCAGTCGCGGAGCGCGGAGCCAAGGGGACCGCGTCAACAAGTCAATACTCGGGCCTCGGCTCGGCCGGCGAGCCTTGGTGCCTTGGCTCGAGCCCCGGCGCCTCCGCCCGCTCCCTGCACTGCCTAACCCTACCGATCCTGCCCTGTCCTGCCTTGCCCTGCAGTCGAGTGGAGTGTAGACACAACTCCGGCGTGTGGTGCCAACTTTCCAGTGGTGCATGCAGCCATGAGACGTGGCGTGGCGTGCCGCGCCACGCCAAGAGGCACCAGTTGAGAGAGAGTCTGACACACATCCCGCGAGCCCAGCCACTGCCAGTGGCCCTGCCTCGTGTGTGCGTCGCTGTGCGTATCGCAGCGCGTGCCACGCCGCGTCCGCCGTCGGGATGCTTTCGATCCTGTTCAATATTCTCTCGCCTGCAGTGCATTGTCCGTGGCCCTGGCCTCTGGCTGCCTCTGGCACGCCTTGTTCCCACTGCCTCGCTGCTTCGCGCTCCTTCCTCGAATCGTGCGCGCACGCGGCCCAACGCGGCGCCACCTGTTTGTCAGTCACGGCAGGCGGCGTGCGCGGCGCGCATGCCGAGTGCAGTGCACTGCAGATCGGCACGCCCGCGACACGCCCGCGACACGCGAGAAGCAGGACGACGATGGCCGTGCTCCTGTTCTCACGAGCTGTGTCGCTTTGTCGGAGTCGTTGAACGGCCGCGGCTTGCATGTGCATCGCCAACGAGTACGGGGAAGTCCGGCCGGCGCCGCGTGTGTCGCGTCACCCACCAGGACCGCGGGGAGCACGAGCAGCGAGTTGACGCGGCGCCACGGTGCCGTTGGTACACGCCACGCACGCGGCGGGTGTGGCATGGCGGCGAAGCGCAGCGCCGACAAGGCGCAAGGCGCTCAGAGAACCGCTGCCGCTCTGCCGTGGCTCTGCCGCTGTCCAAGTCCGACAATTAAGTTCCGTGAGTCACCGCGGCGCGGCCAGGCGGGGCGCGGTGGCGGTGACTTTGCGGCTCGGTTACAATAGAGTGGTTGAGCTGACGCCGGACAAGTAGAAGAAAGGGAGAAATGCTTCAAGAACGTGGCCGCCGCCGCCTGAGGGTCCTGATTGGGCCCAGACGACGCGGTGCCCTGGCCTGGCGGCCGAGGGGTGAATCACTAGTGTACTCATGTGTACAAATTTGCCCGTACTCAGTGTACTCTCAAGTTTAATAAGGGTGAAATTCTGTACTTTTTCGCTTGATTTGGCGTTGGGTGTCGTTTAAAACGCTAAATAAAGCCCGTGGGCGTTTACAAGTGCGAAATTTGTGAGCAAAGCAAGGTGTACTCACCCGTACTCATGTACTCATGTGTACACCAGAACGCTGAGTCGTTCACCCCTCGCTGGCGGCTGTGTTGTGGGCGCATTGTTCTTCCTTTCTTCTTCTGGTCCGGCGTTAGCTCAGCTACTCCGTGCACCTTCCTGGCGGCCTGTCAGCCTGACGGCCTGCGTGCGGCCCGCCGCAGTGCGGTGCATCGCCCGCACCGACTTCCTTCCGCCGGGCCGCGCGGCGCGCAGTGCGCGGTCACGCGCGCCGATGACTCGATTATGATAATTGACGATCCGATGCCGCTCCGAAAATCGAGTGGATGAAAGCGAGGCGCGGAAAATGGGGCGCGACAGGAGACAGGACAGCCTATTGTGCCGCTGAGCCGCCGGCGACGGAAGCGGCGAACGTCACGCCGGCCTTCCCAGGCACGGCCGGCACGGCGTGGCGAGGCGCCTCGCGAAGGAGGGGGCCAAAGTGACCATTTCTTCGCTCCTCTTTTTTGCCCGCTCCGTCGCCCCGAGGATCCCTTGCACACAATGAAGGCTGTGAGGCTGCTGCAGCAGCTCACCCGGCCTGCTCGCTCTTTCGCGTGTCTCGAGTCGTGCTGCCGCGCTGCAACGCGAGGCAAGACGAGGCACGGGTCGCGGCGTGGGTGACTCGCGTGATGCTTACCTTCAAGTAGCTCGCGAACAGCGTCGCGGACGACAAACGGGCAGTGGAGGCGGACCGGCGTGGCGGCGGCGTGCGGTGCATGCAAGTGCAGGTCGAGCCACGCCGCCCCGCCCCACCCCGCCCTGGCCCGCAATCGCCGCCCAGTGGGGGCAGCATTCCTGAGGGACGTCACTGGGCCACAAGACCGCACCCACGGGGCGCCGCGGGGCGGGGCGCTGTTAGCCGCCCGGGCTGGTCAGTGGAAACAGTTACTAACTTCCGCCGAGGACGTCGCTTTGGCTCCCCCCACCCCTCAATCGCGGTATCGTTCTCCTGCCATCGAAAATTATAATGGCTCACACGAGCTTTGCCGTTGGGGCGTCGCGGCGCGAAGAAGAGAGAGAGAAAAGAAGGAGAGGAAGAAAGGCCGCCAAGTGACACAGATCCCCAGATTGCGACGCTTGTGTGGCTCGCCGATTCACTCGTGGTAATTTCACACCGGCGGAATGGAAAATAGAGTGACTGGCGCTCCAGGCTCCAGCGCGCGGTTCAAAACGCGGGGCCTACAAAAGACCTGGAAGCGCTACTGGAACATGCACGCTGCGCTGGTCTCGCTGGTCGAGGCGGAGAAGAGAGGTTGGCTGGAGGATGGACCCTGGCCCCAACCCGTCCCGCGCCGCTCCGCCCCGCTCCGCCCCGCAGCCACCTGCCCTGCACGTGATTGGTCGTGTGTGGTAAGGTGGCGACTTGAACTGAAAAGGTAACGGTTCACCGAGCTGGAGTCCTGGAGTGGAGCCCTGGCTGAGGCCTGGCTGGCCTGCCGCCGGCCAGGTCTACCCTGCCACGAATTTGCCTTCGGAACCGCGAGCGTGCACCCATCGTCGCCAAGACGCGGCACGCGGCACACCGATTCCAGATTCCAGGAGACGGTTTCGTCGCTCTGTGTCTCTCGCACCTATAAGGGGCGCAACATGAGTGCGCGAGGGACAGAGTGAAGAAAACGCCTCTCGTGATCAAAATGGCGCGGTAACTGTTATTGCAACGACTCGCGGAAACAATGCGCCGCGCGTCGCCTCGCGTTCGCGTGCGATGGCCGATGGGATCCCATCTGCCAAAGCGGCGTGCGTGCGGTTGGGCGGCGCGGCGGCACGCAGTCTGCAGGATGGCGATACGCGGCCGATAGCCGATATCGGCATCCTGTGACAGAGTAGCGGCAGAGATGCCGGTGGCGTGGCGTGACCCGCACGGCCTGTCAGCTTTTCGCGTTCTTTGTATTTCTAACTGGACCGCGTTATTTTGACAGCTAGCGTGTTTGCGGTGGCCGGCCGAGCTGCCGCACTGTCGGACAGAGAGGGCGGCTTCCTGGTCGCCGAGGACGCCGTCAGAGGGACGGCACGCCGCTTCACTCTCCGCCGTGACGTCACTTCCCCCACCCCCGCCCCGCCGCCGCGCCGAGTAGGTGAGTGCCCCTTATTCCTCCCTCCGAAATATCGCATCACGGCGTCCTGGCCTGCCGCCCTGCACCCGGGGAGGGGTCAAACGCGTTCCGCACGCCGGCGGAGGGGGCGCGGGTCAGCCCGGGGCAGAGCGCGGCGTCGCGGGGGGCGGGGCGCGGGGAGGCGCGGAGGCGCGGCGCTCTGGAGCGGGGCGGGGCGGCCCGGGGGTCCGGGCGCGCGGGCCGTTACCGCAGCGACGCCAGTCCTCGACAGACGCGCGCGCAACTCAGACGTGTCTTCCCGACGTGTCTGCCCGTCTCGTCCTGCCTGGCTTGTGTGTAGTGCTTAGGATAGCCGGAAGGGCCCCTCACCTCACGAACAACACAAGGTACGTGGAATGGCACGGGCTCCCTTGGGGCTCTCGGGGACCCCCTGGCCTGGCCCGCCGCGTGGAGGTGATCGCCGGCGACCCCCTGGTGACGGCCGCGGCCGCGACGCCCGCTGCAATGATCGCGACGCCGACACCCCGACGCCGACTCGCCGCCAGCGACGCTACCTGTGGAACGCACCGCATCCGTGCCCCCCTGGCCGTGGCGCTGCGCCTGGTCCTGGCTGGCCCTGGTGCTGCAGCAAGCCGAGCACCAGGGTCTGGCCCAGTGCATCCGAGACGGCCAGTGTAGGCACTCCTGAGGACCCCGTTGGAGCACCTCGGCGAGAGGTCGGCAGAAGAAGGCAGGGCGCCGCAGCCGGTCAAGTAGAGCACGTACGAGAAGGGAGTGGTGAAAGGACCGGCGCGGTTAGCACCTGGCATCGAGAGCGCGGTGGCGCGGCCGTTCGAAAGCAAAGGTGTGGAGGGAAGGCCGTGCGCGGCGTGCCGCGTGCCGCGTCGGCAACGGGGCTGTGTCCTGCGCATCTGTCGTGCATCCGGCATGGCGCCACGCCGCCACTGCCGCCGCTGCCCTGCTTCTTGGCCTCCTTGGCCTTCTCGTCGAGCCCATTCGAGTGTGACCCGGCCCGGCCGGGCCGCTGCAGCCGCTCCGGCGCGTAGTGGAAGTGGAGGTACTTCTAGCCGTGGTCACGGCTCAGCTCGGCTCGGCTCGGCGGCGCGCGCGGCTTGGCTCGGTTTAGTTGACTCCACTCGTCTCGCTTCGGTCGTTCGTTGACTTTGCCTGGAGCCGCGCCGGAACGGCTGCTGGGTGGGCAGGGCAGCGTGTAACGGAACGGTCCAGGATTGGGCTATTAGATGCGACCCACATACAAAGATTATGTTGGATCTCGAAACTCGCCGCCGCCGAGCCTGTGTCTGCCTGCGTCCCGCGCGGCCAGCCGGTGTCCTGAGGACGCGCAGTCGCCGGGGTCCGGACGGATGCACGGGTCCCGAAGAACGCATTGTCGCCGAAGGACGTAGAGGAGTCCCGAAGGACGTGTCCCGAAGGACGCCAGGGTCCCGAATGAAGTACGGGTCCTGAAGGACGCCACAGGGCAGCGGGGCGAGCCCGTCCTTGTGAGAGGTCCTTGCTGGAGCGTCTCCAGCGTGACGGTCATCCCGGCCGGGTCAAGAAACAAGGTCAGGCGCCAAGGCTGCGGCGGGCACGGCGTGGCAGTGAGGCGGGGCGGGTGGGGCGGGGCGGGGCCGGGCGGGGCCGGGCATGTGTGCGAGTCCCCGCCGGATTCCTCCAAGTGAAAGTGGAGCGGGAAGCGGCCGGACGCGCAGGGCGGAGTCCTGGTGATCAGTAGGCGCGCGCACACACACCAACAGGTTCCACGTTGAGATGCGTGTTGACGATGTGTTCGTACGACGCGTCCCGGGCCGGGGCGGGGCGGTGTGGTGCGGGGCGGTGTGGTGCGGGGCGGAGCGGGGCATCCACCTGGCCTATAGGCCTAGGCGTCGAGTGCCGTTACCCGTGTGAGTTGTTGGCCTGGGCCCAGCGGGTCGAACGGGGCCCTACGCTCCGGCTCGGCCGCCGGGCTTGCGCCAGGGCCTGGCGATGCTGCCGATGCTGGCAATGGCGATGCCGTGCCCCCAAGCTCGGCGGCACGCGGCACGGTGGCACACACGCACGGCCCGGCCCGGTCGCTTAGCGAGTGAAACTCACGCCGCACAAAAGCAGCCCGCTCTCCGGGACGAAAGTATCGCGCTGCAGTCCTGTCTCCGTCCTCCGTGCCGCCGAAAAGCCGAAGCGCGGGCAGGGCAGGGCAGGGCACGGCACGGCAGGGCCGAATGAAAGTGTCACTGAACCCGGCGGCGCGACGCCACGCCATGTGTGGCTTTGGCTTTCTCCACGTGCTAATGAGTCGTCGCTTGCTTCGCTTGCTTGCAGGATACCATGAGGTGGCTGGTTCTCGTCGCGTTGGGCTGCCTGCTCGGCCTGGCCGTCGCATCTCCCATCGCCAACCGCGAGCAGGAGGTGGACAAGGCCGACAAGGCCGCCCCCCAGGCCGTGGCCGTCGCCCCCGCCGTCGCCACCGGCCGCCAGTCATCTTCCGACAACCAGGTGTCCTCGTCCGACGACGACGATGACGATGACGACGACGATGAGGATCTGGACCTCGACATAGAGGACGACGACGACGATGATGATGACGACGACGATGACGACGATGACGACGACGCGACGCCCACGGGCCAGAACGCCCCTGCTAGCGGCAGCCAGCCCGCCCAGGTCGCATCATCCAGCGACGATGACGACGACGACGACGATGAGGGAGACTACTTCGAGAGGTTCTTCGATGACTTCCTTGGAGGTGAGTATCTCGGCTATAGCAAGGCGTTGGCTTCTAGCGGCGCACAACTCGTCACTGACGCTCTTGTTTTGCAGACGACGATGACGACGATGACGACGACGAACCCTCCAAGCCGGCGGCTCAGCCCTCCGCCGGCCCCGCCCCCCAGGGCCAGGCCGCCTCCGAGGTTTCCGAGGACTCGCTAGGTGAATACTCGGCCAACGGCGAGCAGGACGGCGAGCAGACCGCCGACGACGCCGAGGGTCAGGGCCAGTCGGCCAGCGAGGTGTCATCCGAGGGCCAGGTCCAAGCGCAGGCCTCCGAGACGGCCCAGGACGTGCAGGCCGCCCCCCAGGCCACCCAGGACTCTCAGGACGCCTCCTCAAATGACGACGACGATGACGACGACGACGACGAGGAAGATGTCGGCGTTGACGATCTCGTAGATGATGAGGAGGACGACGATGACGATGATGATGACGATGACGACGACGACGATGTTGAGACGGACTTGGACGACGTGGTGGACGATGAGGCGATTGAAGCGAAAAGATCACGTGAGTCCAAAGTCCTGAAAGAAACGTCACAATCCAGCGCCAACTCTGTCCTATGATATCATTCAAAGCCTATTTACCAAGTCAGTCAAGTTGTTGAATTGTTGTTGTTGACGATATCCCTTCCGTGCTATTTATTTTAAATTATTTATTTATTTAATTTATTTATTTAATTAAATTATTAATTTAAATTATTGATTTAAATTATTGATTTAAATCAATTTCTATTGCTGTCCTCAATTTGCTCAAAAAGACAGAATCGATTTTTAGAGAGGAATGAATGTGAATGCCAAAGGCACCATTTCGCTCGACACTAGCTTGTCCCTCGTGGATTAGTCATCTAGTTAGTGCAGAGATGAAACACATTGTTACTGTTCAGACCGCGTTTGCATCGCCACAAACGTGCGTTTGCCATGCCATAGATATTTATTTGTGTTAATTTATTCGATGTATTGTGAGAAAAGGATGACTGCTGTGTGCCAGTGTGTATGAGAGAGAAACAAATGACGAGTCTTGCTCAATTTCTATGCTTGCTCATTTTTTAAAAGATTTTTTTTTAAAATTTTTTTTGGAATGACTTTACTTTGAGGTCTGTCAGTGTGATGCAGGCGGGCGGGCTGAAGGCCTGATAGCTCAGGGATTCAGTACATTCTGTGTGTATGTGTACCATTAAAGAGAATGCGCCCAATCAATTTAAGTCCTCATTCTTTTAACCAAACTCAGCAAAGGCACACGAATGATACGGTTCCAGCGTGACAGCTCGGCGTTCTCGTCCGTAGCCATTTTCTGAAAGGACGCAAAAAAAAGAGAATGTTTCCATCTAACTTTTCCCCGCCGTAACATGGTAAATAACCTTTATTAACCCATCATATCGCTGCATGCGCTTTAACATGATTTAACTAATCCAGCGTGCATCTTACCGCTTCTTTAATCTGCCATTGAGACTGAGCCAACGACTGACCTACCTGACTGACACTGCCCGCCCCGCACCCCCTCCACCCCCGCCTCCCCAAGCGTCGCCATTCCCCGGGTAAGTGCCAGAAGTCTGGAAGAGCCAGCCACCCCGACGACAAAGCCACGGAGGAGTTATCAAATCGTAAGTAGGGCTCGCGTCTGAAAACAGCGCCCTCGCGAGTATTCGAACTCCGAACCCCGCGCCCCGGACCGTCCCCAGTGCTTGGTGGCGGGCAGGTGGCGCGCTGCGCTCCAGTACGCGAGACTTGTGGAAATGTCGTGTCCGGTTCCGGGTGTCCCGGGGCGGGCGAGCGGACGGAACCTGGCTTCGAAATGAAGGTGGTCGTCTTCTAGTAGCCACGGCCACCGTCCACTGACTTCGTCGATCGGAAAATGACTCGGTGGAGCCAGCCCTTGGGCCAGGCCCCCGCACCGAGGACTCTCGAGCCCGATCCACGTAGTCCCGACAGCCACCGGCCTCCGCCGCCCGCCCCGCCGACAACCCCTGCTTGCATAACAAAAACTGTCATTTCATTTCACCTCAAGTTTAAGACAGGCTTTCACCGACACTCTGTACAGTCCGAGCTAACCCTGTGACCTCCGATGACGCAGCCCTCGCCCAGAACCCGAGGCAGAGAGAGACAGAGGGAGAGAGACGACGACGCCGGACCCGAGACCGGGACCGCGGGGGATGACTCCGGGGACAGTCCGCGAGCTTTCACTGGTTCACCGTGGTCGGGGAATTATAACACAGGGCAGTATTAAATAACATGAAATGGTTGCCATTCCTCGTGAGTTATGGAAAGCACCCCTGCCAAAACCGAACGGATGTCTAAAACGCACACTCACACACGCGCGTAAACGCGGCTCGCGTACACGTACTTGGTCAGGGTCAAGGTACCGTTGAGGTGCCGTCGCGGAGGGGGCCGGGGAGGGGAGAGAAATGAGAAATGTTGAGAGTGGAGGGGACAACCCGGGACAGCCTGCGAGGTAGGCAACCCAACACGCGGCGACCGTTAAGACGGAGGCCCGAGCCGAGGCCCGCTAGAAGACGGGCGATTGCTAGGACCGAAGGGGATTCCGCCAGACGCGCATCGAGGGGGCGTGGCGGGGCGTGGCGGGGCGATGCACTGGAGTCGACCCGACGACACACAACGGACCGCCAGGACCGCCACTGCTGCGACGCAACAGACTCACTGACTGCCGCTGCCGCCGCTACTGCTGCTGTTCGTCCGCGCGGTCCACGCTGCTGCCGGGACGAGTGCGGACAGTGAGGAGTGAGGCCCGGAGTCCAGCCGGAAGGCCGGCACCTCCCGCCGGCTCGGCTCGGCTCGGCTCGGCTCGGCTCGGCTCGGCTCCGGAAAGAGAGAAGTCGTACTGCTTTCGGGGTGCATGATGTCAATTAATCCCAGCATCTACTCATTTGCATATATCTACATCTACTCGTGTACATTCGATGGTGGGCCGACAGCGTCGGAGGAGGGGGCGGTGCGAGCGAAGTGCAGCCAGGGCAGCCCTTGGGGCAGCCCTTGGCGCAGCCCGGCCCGGAGCGCAGCGTGCCTAGCGCCTAGCGCCTAGCGCCCGCCGACGGCAGGGTGGGCCGGCCTGCACGACGCGGGGGTTGCGCGGGCCTGCCTACCCGCCAGGCGCTCCACCCAGCCACTCAGCCCGCCCCGCTGTCTGCCAGCCGTCCCCTTGTTTGTCTGTCGCCTGCCTGACTGCCTGCCTGTCGCTTAGTGCCGGGCGCGGCCAGCCGCCAGCCGGCCAGCTAGAGCAAGGCTCGCTCAGGGGGAATACGGCACGGTCGTTTTGTCAAAATGCAGCATAAAGGGCCGACGCCGAACGGCCCACAGCAGCGCCGCCTGGCGGCCTCCTTCTGAGGCGAGAACGGCGAGAATGCCGCCCAGGGGCCTGCTGCCTTGCTGCCTTACTGCCCTCTGCTCCTGCCTCGTGCCGGGAAGAAAACGATTCCGATTGGCGCGTTTCGCGCTTCGCGCCCACCGGTGCTGCTGCACTGGAAGGATGCCGGCCGAAATTCCCCGATGGGTCTCTTTGTGGCGAAGCCGTCTTGCCGGCCGAGTGACACGGCGACACGGCGCGCCAAGTCCTCGGGCCTTCTGTCTAGTCTAGCGTCTGTCTCTTGGGCGGGGATGGACAAGGCATGCAGCCCTGGGGCGCTGGGAGGCTGGGACCCAGGCGTGTACATAGTGGGGTGAGCGGGGGGCGCTCCCATTGGCTGCCCGGCGCCGCTCCCGGTCCCTCACAGGTGGGCTTGCCCCGCGTTGCAGGCGCGCTCCAGAACGGCCCGTCCACCGCGTACATCACAAAGTACAACCGCTTCGTGGACACCATCCTGGAGAGGGTCAACAAGATCCTGCGTCGCTCCTACGACCCCGTCAACGTCCGCCTCACGCCTGGGGAGAAGGCCGCCGTCAAGTCCGCCGACAAGGAGAAGAAGAAAAAGAAGAAGAAGAAGGACAAGAACAACCAGCGCGACGGCGACATGATGTCCAAGACTGACGACGCGTGAGTAGCTCCATGTGTTGTTTCCTCTATGTTTCGCCTCAGCTCGCAGGAGAGCCGCGGTGCCGTGGCGCTGCACTGCTTCGCGTGCTTCGCGTCTGTCACTGTTACGTGTCCAGGGAGATCGCTGCCACCACCATCGAGGACATCATCGCCACCACGGTCGCCAGCGTCGCCCCCGCGCCCGCCAGCAACGCGACCGGCCGCGCGCACCACGCCAGCCCGCGCGCCAAGAACACCAAGAACAAGACCAAGAACAAGGTGAGGGGCACTCCACCAGGAAAGGGGTCAGCTTTTCAAGGCCTGATTACGTTGAAATGGTAGTTCTGCAGCGGTCACGCGGAAGGGAAAGAACCAGCACTTGTTCGGATTGCGGTTTCGTTTTTCAAAGCCCCTCGTGACCGCACACCGCACGAGGAGAGGAGAGTGTCCAGTGTCCGCCACTGGCCCTTGTAGGCCCTCGGCGTCGTCAGTCCAGCCTTTCCCTCACGCCGCGGCTGCCGCGGCGTGCTTCCTCGTCAACCACTCACTCCTCGTCGGCGTGCTGCCGGCTGCAGGCTCGTTTGCGGTCGCGGTGTTTGTGTTTGACCGCCGAAACCGCATCAATGTCACTCGGCCGAACAGTACTCGATAAACCAAGCCGTTGGTTCTGTTTGTCGGTGCGTCGGTTCGGTCGGTTCGGTCCGTCCCCGCGGCGTCGCGACGCACCGCTTTACGCTCCGCACCGTGACGCTTTAATGAGTCCGCGACGCTGATGGTTGGCGTGACCAGCGTGACGAGGAGGGAGGGGGACGACATAATAACGCCGTGCTTTTGCAGAAGAAGACGGGCACCAAGACGCAGCACCCCCGCGCCAAGGCCACGCTGTACGGCCTGTCCTCCATCAAGCGGTCCGGCGACGTCACCGTCAACATGATGAACACGCACACCACGGTGCGCACCAACTTCCTGCTCGGGCCGCTGGTCCTCAAGGTCGAGAAGGAGGTAAGCGCGCCGCGTTTCGCGGGGATTCGGTCGATTTGGTTCGGCGGCCGCCCCGTCTGCCCCGCCCACGTCGGCGAGGCCCTCATTACCTGCGGGCCACGCCGGCATGGCCGCGAGGCGGCGCGGCGGCAGGGGCAGCGCTTTCTCCGCGCAGGCCGTAACTCCGCGATGAAGCACTTTGTGGCGCCGACGACGCGCCGCTCGAGGCCCTGACGGCCAGGCCCTGACCCCCACGCCCTCGGCCCCCGGCCCTTGCTTGCAGTTCGGCCGCGGCGCCAAGAAGGAGCTGCGCAGCGCGACCGCCACCACGGCCGAGATGACGGGCAGGCTCAACCTGAGGGTGATGCACGGCGGCGCGGCGACACTGCACTCCATCAGGGTCATGCAGCCCAAGCAGGTGAGTCGTCCGTGGCCCGGACGTCCCGGGCGGCCCAAAGGGACGGACGGACGCTCCGGACGCCTTGCCCCACCCCACCCCGTCCTTGATCAATCACCCAAGATAGGCAGCCTAGACGCGACGGCCCGGCCACGCCTTGGCGCCTTGGCCACGCCGCCGGCGACGGCCCTCGCCACTCGCGGCTCCCTTCGCACGCCTCGCTCTCTTGCCGCGCTAGCAGCATGCTGCAGCATGCCGGCTGCACTGCCACTAGGCCGCCCGGCTCCTGGCGGCCCTTGCCCTTCACACAATGGCTCGGCCAGGCCCGGCGCTCCTCGCCTAAAGAGCCCCGTCTGTCCCGCCATCCCGCGGGCCCCTCGGCCAAACGCCAAACCACCGGCAGCGACAAAAACGTTGTCACTGAGGAGGGAGGGACTTTGCTCTTGATCTTCTTCTCCTTCTTTGTGTTTTCTTCCTCGGTTTTTCTGTTCGGGCGCCCGCCGTGAGTATGACGCGAATTATTGCGGTTCTCTTCTTGCTCCCCGCGGGTCGTGGGAGCAGCAGCGGCGGCAAGCGGGGATGCGGCGAGGCGGCGGGGATCGGGACGGGGTCAGTCCGAACCCCGAAGCCGCGGCCCGCCGCGCCCTCCCCTTCGCCGGCCCCCAACTAACCAAAACATTGAACGAAAAAAAAAAAAAAATTTAAACCGGGTGAGTTGGCTGACTCTGGTGCTGTGGTCTGTGTGTGCAGGTTCGCATGCAAACCATGAGCCTTGGGGCGGGGGCGGGGAACAGCACGAAGGTATGTTCCAAACCGCCACATTCTTACGCCGCGCGCGCCCTCGGGGACCATGGTCCATCCTGGTCCATCCTGGTCAATCCTGGTCCACCCTGGTCCACTCTGGTCCACCCTGGTCCACTCTGGTCCACTCTGGTCCGTCCTGGTCCATTCTGGTCCATTCTGGTCCACCCTGGTCCACCCTGGTCCACCCTGACCGGGGCGGGCAAGCCGGGGAAAAATGTGAATAAGGGAAAGCGTCCTCGGAGGTGCGCGCGGTCGTGCCTCTCTGTACAAAGGCAAACGGACGTGGGTGTCTCGGCGTTGCGATAGGATTCTCTATTCGCTCCCCGACCGGTACTAACAGTGTAGCTCGTCGTGACTAGCCACGACTTCATCCAGCATCATTACTAAATCATGGTAGCCACTCACACTCGCCTCCTCGGAGTGCTGAGCAGTACAGTTCATCTCACCCTGTCGGCCAGCCACCTATAGTTTGCGGGCGGTATAGTTGGTGCGGTAGTTTAGTGCGGGGCCCGGCGGGTGTACAAGTAGGCTGCACTATGTAAATCTCTCACTTGTCACTGAAACTTTGCTTCTCCTGCCTGGCGTACTTTTGGCTGGTCGTTAGATAACTGCTTGGTCGATTTGCACGCTTTCACGCACCCTTCATTTACTTCTAGAGCGCACTCCATTTGAGCATCAAAGCACAGCCGCTCCACGGGGTGCATTTGAACGTAGAAAAATAAAACGACTGCCATGTTTCGTCGTCTGTCTGTCTGTCTCTCTCTCTTCGCCTGTCTGCAGTGAGAGGGAGAGAGACGGGCGGCGGAAGCGTGCCGTGCGTGTGGCGCCCGCCGCGCGCACGGCCCACTGCAAGTAGAGCACGTGATGCTGGAGATAACAACGTGGCCATGCATGTCGTGCTCAAGTCCGCTGCAGTCGCGGCCAGCGCACCTGTCCCGTCGCTACTCCACGCTCCAGTGCTCGCGAGCGCGGGGTAGCTCCGCCAGACTGCGGCGACTGCAGTGTAGTCGTCATTCATCAGCACCATTGTCCAGCAGCCTGTGGCTGCCAACCGCTGCCAACCACCCAGCTTGTACTAACGTCGCCCTGTGCACAGGTCCGCGTCGAGAGCGCCGACGACCACGACAGGACGCGCGAGTTCGTGTGGTCCCGCAGCAGCCACATCGCCCACCTGGTGTCGCAGAAGCTCACGTCGGCCACCAGGTCCATGCTGCAGCCGCCCCCCACCGTGGGCGCCCTGTAGGCCCTGCCGGCCCGCAGCGGGACCGTCGCAAGATCTCATTTAGCAGTGGGTCCGTTCGCAGGACGGCCCACTAGACTGATAGCCATCGTGGGGAGGAAGAGGAGCACGGCGGCGGGCGCGGCGCGCGGCGCCCAAATCCGGGCCGCCTGCCGGGTAATGCCCGGTTGTCACCGAGATCACGGGGCTGCCTGCAGAACCGCCCACGCCGCCACGCCGCCGGGTAGCTTCCGGCTTCCGCGCACAGATAGCGATCAAAGGCACCTCTGGGCCGGTTGCCGGTTTAGGGCGGCCATTCTTCGCCCTGGCCTCCGTGGCCTCCGCCGTGCGTGCGTGCGGCGCGGACCACGGGTGCGTGGGCGGCGGCAGCTCGAGCTGGCACAACGAGACGGGGAGACAACGCAGACCACCGACATTGGACAAAATAATTTATAGGCCAACAAGAAAAAAATTATTTATTCTATTTATTTGTATTTATAATAATTTATTTTAAATAAATGACTCTATTTATTTTGACACGGAGCCCCTCAATCCACTCCCGGACCAGCAGGAGATGCAAATCAGTCTTGCGGCTTCACACTGTTCGGCAGACGGAGCGCGCCAATGACCGCAGCAGGGTGCGCTGCTCCGACGAGAGGTGGCGCCACAGGTCGGCCTCCAGGGTGCGCAGGGCGGGCATGTCCTGCGACTGGATGGCCATCACCAGAGACTGCAGCAGCAGGAACAGCTCCTCGCTCACCAGCTCGTCTGCAAGTAGAGAGAAGCCGCGTTGGCATTCAGTGAGACGGCAAACGATGCGTGGCAGGCTGGCCTACGCAGGCTGCGGCACGGCAGGGGCGCGGGCGGCAACCCTAGCGCTTCGACGCACCGGTGCGTGGCAGGCTGGCCTACGCTACAGGCTGCAGCACGGCAGGGGCGCGGGCGGCAACCCTAGCGCTTCGACGCACCGGTGCGTGGCGGGCTGGCCTACCCTTCGGGCTGTCGTCGTCGGCGGGCACTCACTCACCTGCACCGTCGGCGTGCTCGCCCCAGGTGTATCTTTCGAGCAGGTGTGCCAGCCGGGCGGGAAGTCGCTGCGGCGTCGGCTGGAGCAGCAGCAACAGCAGCACCTGCGTCACCTCGCACCTGGAAGACGGGGGAAATTTCGTTTAGATCGGCTTTGGCCTAAAGGAGCGTGACGGCGATGGCGAAACCACGACGCCAGGGTTGGGGTGGAGTGCTCTGCTCACCTGTGCAGGAGGTCGCGGAAGCAGCCCACCGTCGGCTGCGGCGCTCCCTGGGCCACCGAGACCATCTCGTCCACAACAGCCAGGGCGCCGTCGTAGTCGCCTGCACATACAATGCAATCTAAGTCGAGTTCTCAATGGGACTCGCCCAGTGCGACGGTACGAACAGGAGGGCGAGGATGGCGTACCGTCGCTGACCCTGTCGCTGGCGATGTTCTCCAGGCAGTGCATGTAGGCCATGGGGCTGGAGCGCATCAGCTCGGCCGCCCTGGCGTAGTGGCTGCGCGCCGCCTCGGGCCTGTCCAGCTCCAGCCGCAGCGCCGTGGCGACCTGCAGCGCCAGCCCGGCAGCCGCAGGAACGCCCAAGGGCCCTTGGAACTGCGCGCGCTGCCCCGCTCGAGAGAAGCAGCAAAGGGCGGCCTGCAACACCATGACATGGCACACCAGCACATCCAAAGTCTGCTTCACTTCAAAGCGTCAACCAAACAGTTGGCTCGTATTGGCTGAATTACCTGTACATTTTCACCGCCAGCACTTTGACAACCTATGCTGGCTCCTTTTCGTTCTGACTGTAAGAACAATCGCCCGCCTCTAACCAAGGCTGAAATCTCTCCATTGGAATGTCCCAGTTCGTTTTCACAGCGTGCCACAGCCTGCCAGCAAAGACCAGCGTAGGGCAATAACTGCTGCGACTCACACTGCATAGCCAAAGAACCTAAACAGACAAGAAACAATAAATACAAAGTATACAGTGAATTATTTTTAAAAAGAGACAATGTGATTAAAACTTCCCACAACTAAGAAACAGCAGAGAAAAACAACTTACCATATTGTTCACTGGCTTCTTGGACATTAGGCTTCCGTAAAAATCTCCTAAGTAGAAAATTTTTTTAAGAAAGTAAAATCAAGAACTGTCAGAAATAAAAGCAGGTTATGTTTTTCAGGTGGGGTCAGCATGTTCCCCCTAGGTTTGCAAACACATACTTTTTCAACTTGTTGGATATAGACCTATATTGAGTCAATATATCGTTTGACGGAGCATCCACCATCGTGACAGTAACAGAAAATCAACTAAACAGGACCGCAACCAAGAAACATCACACTGTTTGCGCTCTGCAAGAGCAAGGAGCAGCTGATAACAAATGAAAGCTCGCTCAAGCTCCTGACGAATTTCCCATACGTCTGCGAACGTAAACAAACACAAGAGGCAAGCAGGTGCACATTTACATTTAGTTGTTAGCTATTTGTGCTTTTCGAAAAGGAGATATAACTCGGTTTATCCATTTAGAATATCTGCAGGGTTCCGAGATTTTTTTATCGAACTGTTATTCGACAGGATTTCGTAACCCACACCATGGACGTTTTCAACGCGTTGTGGTAAGGTTACTTTGTTACTTGATGCTTCGCCGCAAGTCTCATTCATAGTCAGATGAGCGATTTTCATTGACCTGCTACCATTTCTCATGTCATTTTTCCAGGGACGACCCAGAACAAAGGAAGCGCCCACCTGATGACAATTTTCAATTATTTACTATGGAAGAATGGTTTGCAATGTCTTCAACGCACAAGATTCTGACTGGTTCATTACAGTGCCCTCTTCCCCACGAAATCGAACCTAGTATGCATACATACTGTCACAAAGTTTCCAATTATGTTGTTAACTTGCTTCATGGTTTTTGGGTGTTTTGTCCTTAGGTAAGGGAGCTCCCAAAAGTGCCCTAAACCGAAATATAAGGGATTTACTAATGCAGAAGTCAAAACGTGATGCAGCGAGCATGAAAGCAGCTCAGCTAAAGGATTCTAATGATGGAAAAGTAAGGCATTTCTATTTTATTTCTGCTTTATTCATGAACCTTTTCTTGACTTCATCTTTCTTTCAGCTCTATGTACCAGGATTTTCAAGGTTCCCTCACTTTGCTCGTATCTCAGATCTCACTTCTCAAGAACATGCAGAATGTTTAAGACTCTGGATGAAATTTGATGGGAAACCAACAGAAGAACTAACAGTAACTGAAAAAGCAGAACATCAACTATTTCAAGTCAGTAAAAATTAATGCTGCACACCTATTGATTAATAATAAAAATGAACCAAAGTGATGAATCACTAAATTTATTTACCTCTTTGCAGTCTTTGTACTCAAGAGTGAAAGCAGAACAAAAGGAATTCCTGGAATGTGCCAAAATAAATTGGCCTGAGGTCAAGCATCGAACTGTTAACATTAAAGGCGATCCTCATAATTATTTCTTGCAGTTCTGGGCTGTAAGTGGCAATTATCGCAAATTTTCAAAACTGATTGCAAAGTCATCAATGGCGGTTGTTTTGTTTTCCTTTTCAATTTTATAGGCACATAGGAGCCCTATTTAATTTTTTACTTTTTTTTTTTTTTTTTAAATTTCAGAACAAAGTCTCTAATGCTATGTCTCAATATCCTCATAAGTATGTAAAATTGAAAACATTTTCTATTCATGAAAATGCTGAGATGGGTCAAAAGCTGCATTTTGTCAAAAACCTCCTAAACATTGTAAGTGCAGTGTTGTACAGTAATGAAATTTTCTTTTTCCATCAAGATTGTTTATGCTTTTCTTCTCTTTTTAATGTGTCAGGGTAAAATTGCAATGGCTCGTCTACCTGATTTTCATGAAGCTTTCAGAGTTGCTTCAAGTATTTTAAAGTTAAGAACTTGGGCTTTTTTAAATGTCCCCCCATCTAATTTAAATGGAACTTTACATAAGGTCCCAGGTACATTTCATAAAAGAATAATTTAATAATTTAAGAATAATTTTGTTTTTATCTGTAAAACTTGTTTGATATTTCTAAAACTTTTCTATTACCCTCCTGCTTTTACTTTAAAAATGAAGTGAGCAGAGATCCGAATGCGGAACGGTTGGCGCGTCTTCATGGTGCCAATGTTGTGATATCTACTAGTGGCATGCGGTGTCTCCTTGACAATTATGATGAGAAGAAATGTCCTGTCAGTGAAGTTGGCAGGTCCTGGGTTCTTCCGATTATTGTGAAAGAGCATCGTTCATTTTGTAAGTAGCAGCTGCTTCACCATGATGATGGACTGTTCCCAAAACTTAAACTGGACTGTTTTTGTAATTATTTTCAGGTGATGGTAAACCAGTCACAAAGACCATAATATTTATTGACAAGCAACTGCCAAAACCCAAAATGACGGGCGTTGAGAAAGTTTCCTGGTACCAGAAACATGCACTGTTTGCTGCTGTTGTTACCCGAAACCGTAATGCAGGGATTGAGTGAGTGATAAGTACATAGACATCATGTCCTCTATGCATCAAATCCATAACACTTATTGTTTTTTTTGCCCCTGTTTTAGGTTTGACATAAAAGGAGAGGATATTTTAATTAGGAGAAACCTAGACTCTACAGACACAATGTCAGAAAGTTCATCTGGAACAAATGCTGAAGAATCTGCACTCAAACACAGCAATAAGTCTAGTTCAATTGAACAACCACCCTCCAACAATGATTCATCAAATTTGTGTAACCCGCCTCCATCAACGTTGCATCCAAATCGTAATAAGAATAATGTACCTGATGATGAGGACGACGATGATAATGATGATGATGATGATGATGATGATGATGATGCCTTAATGATTGACTTACCAGATAATGAGGTATCAAGTTCAAAACAAGTTACTCCTAGTAGGAAAGCTGTTAAATCTGATGATTCAGAAATAAAAGCCCAGCCCTTGAAGAGCAAGGAAACTATTTGCACTGAAGATTCGGTTACCAAGAGTCCACCAGCTGAACTAGCATGCTGTGGTGGCTCTAATAAACAAACACAACCAGGAAAATGGGAAAAAATATGTCCACCTGAGCCTGTACAAATTGTGAATGGCAATGCACTACCTGTCTCTAACACAAATTTGACTTATAACTTATGGTGTCTGAAGTCTGAAGAAGAAGAAAATGATCAAAACCAGTCAGGTGAAATCAACCTTTTAATACGAAGCCGTGTTGATGGCTGTGAGGTAACATTCTTATTTAGTTTGTTCCCTAAAATTAGAAATATTGTTAGCTGTAGCTTACAACTTGTATTTTTACCCTTCTTCTAGCCTTTGGATCATGGAAAATATCAGCCTATTTGTTTAGCATCCAAACCAGAATATCAGCTTGAATATGGTCCTAGCATCATACCTTTGAGTGATCTAACAAGACAATGGACCAAACTACTTATCCAACCTAACACTGAGCTTGCAAGAGGTATGTTCAAACCTACTTTTTGCTTTTGCAGCCAAACCATAAGAAATTTTAAATCTTAATTATCTTTTTTCCTCTGTTTTAGTCAGGGTCAATGTGCAAAGGGCAGAACTGGTCACACTCGAGAAGCGATCAATATTAGAAATTGAGGAGGAAGCTCAGACTCTTTACAAAACAGCTTTGTCAGATAATTTAAAATGCTTTCAACAAATTTTGAGAGAGTTGATCCAGCTTCCAACTGGCCAATATCTGTTGTCTCATTCTCCACAAATGGGTTCCAGTGTAGAATTATTCAAAGCATCAAACGAGTTAGTAATAATTGGATCTGTGTTTAAAATGTAATTCCCCAAAAGTAAATCAATAATTAAATATTTAATTATTTTCAGGGCAAATGTAATAGACTGGTATCTTCCTAAAGATTATGGGAGTCGCCCGGAGATAATAGATTACGATATGCCATGGCCAGAGATTGATACTAACGTTATTTTGCCAAGACACTTACAAATACAGTCAATGCCATGTACCTTCCATAGCCCAAAAGGTCCAACACTTAAGTCAAAACCGAGTAAGTTTGAGAGAACTTGTCTGCATCGATTTCCTTTTCATCAAAATCACTTTATGAATGGCATCATTTGTCACTTTTAATTTCATTCTTTAGGTAAGCCTCAAAATCAACAGCCTCAAAATCAACAGCCTCAACAGGGCTCTTCTAGTAGGTATAAGAAAAAAAATAGAAAGAAAAACAAGAAAGCAAAGCCTACAAACAAAGCTGAAGAACCGGAGGAAGAGGCTAGCACTATGCCGTAGGAGGAAAAGTGAACTGAGATAAGGAAATGCCAAAGAAAGTAGGTCTGATTTTTTTTCTACACTTTATTGAAAACAATATATTTCTAAATATATTTACTTATAAAAACATGATCACCTTTTTAACAAAATAATGAAACCTATCAGTTCAACAACAGAAATCTCAAACACTGCATATAATGCCAATTTCTATGATGTTGTAAATTAAGGAGATGAAGCATTTCAAATGAACTTCTGTGATTTATTACATTATATTGACCCTTTGACTGCTTAGCACTCACTATCAATTGATATGACATTAAAATCTACTTGTTGCAGGATAAAAACAGTGTATTAAAATGCTGGACTCGGTAAAATACATATAAATATTGAAAGGAGAGTGATGGGCAGTATCTTTCTAACTCAAGTTTCACTGGGGACTGAAAAGAAATCTCAACATTTCAATATGTATGGTCATCAACGATCATAGCACAATATGGTGCCAGAATATACATGGGAAATACATTTTTCTCTACCAGTACATTCCTAAATAAACCTCTAGCATTTTATGCAAGCAAAGGAAAACAATCAGCAACGTAGTGAAATTCATTAATTGAACTGTGGTTTAAAAAGCAAGCAATGTGATGAACTTGTACTTCAACTCTCTCTCCAATTAAAGGCTAAGAGTAAAAAAAAACATTCACAACATGGATAGGAGGAAATTTGAGAGAAATGTTCAACTTCATTGTACTAAATTCTAAATTCACAAAACCATGATGACCTGTTGCTGTCACTGGGAGAGTGCCATGTACTTTCAGCCAATAATCAATTTACAAAGAAAAATGAAAATATCACTGGTCCTCTCTGAAATTGTCATCATAACATTTGACAACCAAAATGCACTTCAGGTCTAAAGAGAGGGAACTCTGAAATTGTCCAGAAAACATCGAACAAATCCTGTGTAAGAGATTTTATCACAGACAACAAAACCTAAATATTGGTACATTTTTTAAATCCTCTAGAATCCTCTATACAGAAGTACACGGCACAACTGTCAAATCAAACCTATGATAATAGTCTGTTCAGCTAATTGTTGGTTCCAAGTCATGATTGCACTCAAATTTGAAATTTGCATTGAATACAATTATTAGTCTGAAATGATACCCCAACTTTAGCCACATAATAGCAAATGAGAGGTCTTGATCCTCAGAAAGGGAAGTTTGTCCCTAGTGTTAGTTAATGAAAGACGTTGAGTCATGAGACTAGGGCTTAGTCTCATGATTGAGTTGACACTTTGCAATTACTCTTAAACTTCTAGGTAATTGTACAAATAAAAATTCAGAAACACAAGGATTTGTGCTTATAATATGTCCATGTTTGTCCTATTTTGTAGGTATTACCATTATTATTATTATTATTATTATTCTATGGAGAACAATTTCTCTTTCTTTACAACTTGTCATCCTGCATGTCAAGGAACTGAGTGCTAACATCTCTTGAACTATCACCTTTCTTGGTGTACACAAACTTGTAGTAGCTGCCATCAGCACAAACCACTGGTAAAAATAAAAACAGAAGAAAATTGTAAGTCACGTTTAAGTGAAGGGACAGGTCTACAACAAAACCAACCATAGCCTACCGATGATAGAATTATTATCCGCTCCAAATGCACACATACAACGACAGTTTCCAGGAACTTGAAACTTGCAGAAACTCCAGCTAGAGCTGAAATATTTTGGCAAGAATGAAGCACTTGCCAAACTGAGCAAAAGAAATATAAAAGAATTAATATTGAACAAAAGCATGAATTAGATTTAAGAGCAAATGGCAGTAAAGTGCATGTGCTTACCTGGATTGTCTGTTAAGTTTTGGGTCTTCCACTGAAAATATGTGGATTGTTCCATGATCACTTGAAACACATAGGCATGTTGAATCATGGTTGAAATTAATACTAGAGGAAAAGCAGGGAATGAGCTCAACACTTCAAAATTAAGTTTATTATTTTAAAAATTATGCATAAAATTAATTACCAATAAATATTTGCCGCATTAGCACCTCTTCTCAGTTCATTTATTAACAGTCCACTAGCAGTATCAAATACTCGAATCAGGGTACCCTGCAAAGGTAACCAATATGACTTGTTAATGGCTTCCACAGCTTCAAAACAAGGGATACAGCCATTGAATCAAGTAGGGATACACATACCTTTTCAGATGCAGTAGCCAGTCGAGTACCTTGTAAGTTAAGTGCTATACAGCTGAGAGGTGCTTCATGGGCAGCAATATCTAGTGGGGGTCTTTCAGTGTCTGCTAGATCAACGACTTGTACATGACCAGACTTACGACCAGGGAAAGCTAATAGTGAATTGTTACTGTTCGGGCACAGTACACACAAACCTGTTAGATTCATTGGTGAGGGAAAAAAATGACAATTAAATAAAACAATCCACTGGGTCATAAGACTCCAACAGAAAATAAAACAACCTTGGCTTACCATTAGGGTTGGGACTAGTTTCAAAGACATGTAACTGCTGAGGATTCTGTGTAAATGTGTAGACTTTGATTACCCCTTCCAATACAACAACGATACGGTCTCTTCGCAAACGAACACCACGTACTGGAGCGTTGAATTCAAGTGCAATCACAGGCTGCTTCTTTAAATCATCCCACACCATTACTGCAAAGACAAATGTATGGAGGTTATTGGAAAAGTTTCATAGAAAAACGATAGCAAACACAATAAACCATAAACTAATGTCTCGACAACATACCTCTGTTCGGAGGGTATTTGGGATGAGTTCCTCCTCCTACAAGAGCTAAGTAGTTGCATCGAAAGAGCATTTCAACATAGCTCAAACCGCCATCAGTAAAATCTTCTCTTTCCTTCTCTTTCAATGGATCACAATTGTACACTCTGAATCCATTATCCATCCCACAAGCGAAGCATCCTGTCAGACATCAATGACGTTTTACCAAACGCAGTAAGAAAGGTGCCACAATCAACAAAGTTATCCACTGTTCGGTATTTATATATATGGTGTAAATGAACATGGTAGTCCCACAAATTTGACAGATCAATGATGGGACAGGGGAAGAATAACACAGAAAAACCTTAAACAAGAGATAACCTGATGTGACGGAGGGCACAACCACCATGACAGGCAGTAAATCGAACTCAAGATACAGATGTCATAACAAAATATCTCAACAATTAAATGCAATTCTCCAGGTAAATAGAAACTATCACTAAACAGTGACGCGTAAACAAGGAGCTGGTGCGCAGCGCAGCGAATCAACACACTATTCACCTTGGTCTTGGTTGAAACCGGCAAATAAAAGCCCGTTGCCGTGGGGGTTTGAAGGCCCCAAATTCATGGCTGGGCCAATGAAATTAAACCTACTGTCGCAATGCGGCCCTGACTGGGCAAATGTGTTAACTAAAGTGCAGAAAAGGCTTGCTTGTTTTGCGATTTCAAGGAAAACATTGACACTTGGCTAGTAGGCGAGCTTTTCTTCTTCCTCCCTGCTTCTTCCTTTCCTTGGCCTATGCTTTCAGTTCGCTTGTTCATGCTTTTTGTTCTTGTTTGCTTAGTGGTGCGTGGTGGTGCGCTCTGTGGAAGTCCACGGCCGGCTAACGAACTATGTGATGTCACTAAATTTAAATTTCCAACAAAGAACGTCTTACTCTTTAACCATGCCTTAACTTTCCCCAAATCATAGGACTGCTCCAACACACGTTTTGTGTGAGGGTCTGTTTGATGGTTTGATCATGGAGACTCGGCGTCTCTGTAGTTTGATTGGAGCATGATGGATGCTTCAGGATGGGAGGTGTGGGTTTGGATAGAGGTCTATATACTTAGTATTTAAGCCTCTAGATGGAAAAATACGGTTTGAGAAATTTTTAAAAGAGGCAAAACACAATATCATTAATAAGAATAATCCACTTTAATCAAACAGGTTACTCCACATTCAATAAAGAGACACACATTGGAAGATTAGAACTAAAATCTAAGCATGAGACAGCCGAATCTTACTTGAAACAGCTTATCTGTTAAACGGTTTCTAAGTTTATATTTATCACAATTAAATTATTGTTCACAAACAATTTTTTCCAATGAACAATTTTATAATAATAATAATGCCCCATGATGTGCAGTTCAATCAATCAATCACGCAACCCCTCTCTTTAAAACTGCATACTCTACTTACATATATACACAATACAATATTGACTTTCTAATACTCTTAAGTAACAACATTTGCCCCCCTTTTTTCATCAAGAGTTAGAAATTAGCTCATAAAATGAGTTGATGATATACTCAAATCATCTAGATTCCAAATAATAATTTAAAAAAAAACATACAAGGAGTACATCTAGAATGTTACCAGTCTTGTCAGTGAGTTTATAAATAAATAAGACAAATACAATAACAATGCTAGTTACTGTCAAGATAGCAGAAAAGCCAGATAAAATTCCTATTATTACATTAAGAAGTGCTCTTCCCTCTCCACTACGAACAGTCAGACCACAAAGCTTTAGCTCATAACTCAACTGTGTTAACGGTCTTTATGAAAGTTGTCCATTCCTTCCAATCATTTATTTAGGGATGTTAGCAGCTGGTCACTTCTGCTCCTCTACATCTTTTCTGCTTCTGCTCCAGCCAATATTCCTTCCTATAATTTTCTCAAGGACCACTTGGAATGCCTCAAGACCTGATGGCATTTTAGGAGGATGCGCACCTGCTGCTTTAGTCTTTATTCTGCCAAAATGGTCCAATAGTTCCATTACAAGAGGACATTGCCAAGCAAAAATCAGGAATGTGTCCAATTACTAGCAAAATGCTTTTGAAAAAATAAGTTTTTTTTTAAGGGTTAAAATTGTTACAAATTATGAACTCAATGTAAATTGAAGCTGTACTTAAACACCAAGAGACAAACAAAAAATAACTATACAAAGAAACACAACTTCTAAAAATTGCCATCACAGAAATGACAGTAGCTGTACCAGCCACTTGGCTCAACTCCTACTAGCATTCACTTGAGAACATAACTTCATCTTCCGAGGTGCAAACCAAACATTGTCACATCCTACATATACTACATCACAACGCGACAATGAAGCCCTCACAGCTGAGCCACATTCGAGTTGTCACGGTGGAATGTGACCATTGATATTTGGTTTGCGGCGTATTCCTATGTGCTGGGTAGTCTATAAAACAGACAAAATAAAATACGAATGAACATCTTCCATTGGATATTTGAAGGTGGCAGGTTATAGTTTGATAATGATTATTACAACACAGTCTTAATACATGAGTCATTTTGCATCTGAATGCTATATCATATTCATAGCCTAATTTTGATGTCTGACAAAGAAAAACACAAAGCAAGCAAAGAACCAAAGAGGTTTTAGAAGAAAAGTATAACCATCATACCCAGTAAATTTGAATGTGAGCCATTTCCAACTACATGAATGGCAGCTGAGAACATGCAAGAAAAGAAGCAGCTTGGTAGCCATTAATGGGACTGTAACCTACCTTCCCTGTACACAAGTTAAGATCTCAGCAAAACACCTGGTCATTGGTGCGGATAAGAGGTGCTCGTTCGTCCTCAGTGCTCGCTCTGTTCAGACAGTAGCCCACTACGTAAGAACACACTGTTCTACAACTGCATGCATTTCCAATCAATAAGAAGAATAAACAGAGCTTTGAGAACTATAAGAAAAACTTAGGTAAAGGCATCATAAGTAAAATAATAATAAATTAATATCATGCAATTGAAATTGAGCTAACATTAGTGTAAAACATCAGTAAATTAAGAGTAAACAAGACATGCACTATGACCTGGCTGTGGTAAGATAATTTTAGTTTATCCTTGCAATGTACCAATTATTTTTCACAATTCAAAACATGGGGGATTTCGAGTTGTGGAGGTAACCAAAAATAAATGCATTAACCAAAAAAGTACCATGCACAGTCTAAAAGACCTCTAAGTTCTGGATTTACAGCTTATCTGTCTACATTATTTCAGGCGAACCAAAGTACTTTTTAGTTCTACAAAAAAAGCAACATGACACCACACACACAATCAAGGAAACATCAAGAACAACAGAAAAACCTGTTTATAACATTGATGTTGGAAAGTACACTATGGTATGTCTTTCAAAATGATAGATAATAATGTTAGAGTAGGCAATGTTATAACTAGGTTCCACTGTAATCAAAATGATATAAAGAGATGTGCTAGCATGCTTTAATAGAAAAGTTTTTAAAGAACTTACCCTGGGCTAAACAAAATTTCTTTGCGTCCATTGATGTAAAATACACCAGCAAAGGATAAACCCAAAACAACAATTCCAAGAACCAATGTTATCACTTCTTGATAAAATGGAGGCTTTAGGAACATTCTGGCAGTCAATTCCGGCCACACGGATTCAGTCCAAGTGCTGTATTTTCCAGAAGCCATGTCATAGCCTACAAGAAAATAAATAAACATAATTACTAGAGCCATCTATGGGACATCTGTTATAGCAGATCCCCAAGAAAGTTCACAATTTTTACAAACCATCTATAATAAAAGCAGGGCTAACAGCCGAAGAAAAGTTCATTGTTGTTTGCAGACAAACTTTAGGGCTTGAGGAATTATTCCACTGGGAGCTCACCCAAATATATTGGTACACCTTATTTTTTAAAAAAAGAGGGGAGGGAGCGGTTAATTGAATGAAATGGAAAATTATTTAACAATTTTCGGAAAGGATTTTAGTACCTGATCGGTTGAAGCATTATTATGACAGTCAGTTTCATTGAACTTAGTTGGACTGCCTGTCAGAAGAGCCATTGCAGCTCCAGTGAGAATAGACACCAATGAGTAAACATGAGAAACTCCTACATAGTAGGACAAAGGCTTCTCTTCCCCTTCAGAACTTCCAGCAACAGCAGATTGGAAGAGAGAGCAGTTGTTTTGCTCCAAGTAGCAGTGCAGCAGTTCATCCATCTAAGAAAGAAAATTAACTAACCTTGAAACACACCCTTCTTAAAAACACTTGATGTAACAACCTATAGGCAAATAAATTACAATTCACTTACCAGGTTTTTGTCTGCAGTAAGAGAGCCCAGATACTCCTTGTTTGTAACATGTTCATACAATGAATGGGCTATAGTTGTTGAAACATTTGCCAAATATGCTTGAATGCTATCATTTGGTACTTCTGATTTATTGGCATATATGTAGTTCAGCGAAGCAGTGTCGTCAAAAACACTATGGTAGTAGCTATAAAAAAAATTTCACATAAGTATCTTGTTGAATTGAAACAATTGACCATAATGATGTATAGGGTGAATCATGAACACATACTTGTTACTGTACTGTGCTGCATGTTCTGTAAGGACTAAACCTGGAATGTCAGGCCGCTCAGCAAGGAAGGTTTGTAATGAAGCAGGGGGCAAATTTCTTGAAGCTGGCAATTTGTCACTTATAGGAACACCTAAACCATTCCCATTCCTCTGCAAGATTTTAATAAAGTTTTTGACCTGAAAAACAAAATAAACAAGAGAAGGCAAAACATTAGTCTCCTAGTATGTAAAAAGTGCAATATGGACCAGAAATCATCCTAAAATTGTATTTGTACCTCTGAAGAATCCTCTAAGCGGTGAACATAGAGAGGCTGTCCATCAGCTGGTTTTTTAAGTTGGCTTAATTCAATGAATGGTCCAATGTGTTGTAGTCCAATTGGTGGTGGCTGAGCGACAGATGGATCTGGCTTCACTGGGAATGTCCCTTGTTTCATATCAAAAACGATACGGCTGGATCCAATATAGTCATAGGATTCTCCAGCAAGGAGCAGAAATAGAACATTTTTGTCTGAATTACAAATAAAGAGGGTTCCAAATATAGAAAATCATTTGTTGAAGAAGGGTTTCGCATGGTTACTTGTATAATTCTACAGATCCATACCATAGTTTTCTTGTTGAGGAATCATTCGGAATAGAAGTTGAGCCGTAGAAATTAGGGTCACAATACCAGAAACAGCTCCAATAGATGCTGGAACCAACCCATCAAACATAGAAGTTGAATCCATGCGAGCAGCTAAAACTGCGATGGAACCATTTGCTTCTGTTTGCTTTGAACTTCTTTGATCCAAGCCATTGCCTAGTTGGTGGGTTGAGCGGGGAAATAATGTTTGCCAAACATTGCGGCCACCCAAAGGATCACATGAATTGACTAGAATTAAATGCACAAATAAGTAAGACACCAAGTTCACAAACAAAGACAACAAAAAACAATCGCAATGTAGTTACCTTGAGAAAAGAGGGTTTGGTAGTTGTTCCTTTTCATGCATTTCTTTGAATTTACAGCAGCATACATATGAGACTTAAGTTCGAGAGCACACAAAGCCCTTTCAAGCTGTTCGCCAGGGTGTGCAACTGCATTATGTTTCTGATAACACTGACACCAAAATTTGACAAAATTAAATATTTACATCAGTAATTTATAAATTCAAGGCAGAAACCAGAGACAAACTTACTTTGTACAAATGATCAATGTGGGACTTATCAGTGACATAGAAAATGGGAAATTTCCAATCCATAAGGAGCACAGATGTTCCATGAGGGTTCCATCCACTTTTCTCACCAACACTACATGTTTGACCATAAAGTTGGGACAGGCCTGAATATCTATTAGGACATGTGTCTTCATGCGAAAAATGAAGTGGCTTTTCAGCTGAGCTATTGTTGATCATTACAACACCATTGACTTTACCAGAGGACTGCAGGGTCAACAGCAAAGACCTGACATCAAAAAGGAAAATAAGAAACTTTTGCATCGTAAAGTAATTTTGCATAAAAGTACATAATGACTGCATAACAAACCTGGTAAACATTGAAGGGTGCACAACAGCAACATAGGGACCTGCCAAGCCATTACTCACTAACCAATCCGAATCAGCTTGATTTTCAATAATATGGACAACACCTACGTTACCCGATCTAGAGGCTGAAAAATGGCAACACAAATGTATTAGGAACTCACTTGACTTAACAACAAATAAAATATTACATAGCGTATACACATCCGACAAGCTTACATGAACAACCGAACTGATGGGTTCCATTGAGTCGTCTGAAGCAAGCATACGCCCCCTCTATGTCCTCGTACATTTGATACCTAAGACGTTGGCTTTCCCCTGAAAGATAATAAGATAAATTAAGTCTATAGGAAAAGAATTTAGAAAAAAACAACAAGAAAAACAATAGCTGTCAAACAGATTTATAGGTTAGGTCAAAGAGATGTATCAGGTATAGAGTACTGCAAGATCAATATAAACACCCACAAGGATAAACTCCCTTTGTGTGTAAAAAAAAATACTCAGGTAAAGTTAGTGAAACAGTCTAAAACAAGAGATACACAAGAGATATTGTTTGACTGAATTCCCATCACAACGCATCTCTGGGCAAAAGAACCAAGATATCCCAATGAAATTTAGGTGAAACCGCAGCTGACTATCCAACTGTACTTACCATTGCAACTGTATAGTAATAAAACTAACAGAAAATATGAAACAATTTGAGAGAAACCCATATTCATCCGGCGGCGCTTTCCGCCTATCACCACCACTGCCACCACCACCACCACCACTACCACGACAACGGGGCCGGGGGGGGGGGGGGGGGGCAGCGGCTAGGGGAGGTTGGGTTTTGGGGAGGTGAGCGGAGTGAGCGGTGGCAGCGGTGGCTCCCGGTGAAGTTGGCCTCTTTGAGTTCGGAGTATCTGCTCTGGGAGAAAATAAGCATTTTGGCGCTAGATTTTCTACTCAGAATGAGATAGACGGTAATCTGGGGGGGGGGGGGGTCAATTTTTAAAGGTTTCCTTCTCAGTGTAAGGTGAGTCAAGGGATGGTGAGTCAGGTGGGTATAGTGGGTGGGTAGGAGGGTAGGATGGGGAAAGGAGAAAACAAAAAAATAAGACATAAACAGCATCAATGGGCCATTTTATTTCACCCAAATTCATGCTAAAACTGCCAGTTGCACAAACACATGGTTCACAAAAAGTGCACTTCAATTTTTACTAATGACTTGCCCAAGGAAAATCAGTTCTCTTAAATTAAAATTGTACATAAAAATTGTAATAAATTATCTCATAGAAGTCGTCCACGGCATTCCAAGCTACCACATTGACAGATAATTTGTTTATCTGGCACACTGCCGACATCATAATTGTAATCCCAAGTGAGTTCTGCGCCTGCTTTAATATACTGCAATGCAAAGAAAGCCACCCAAGGAAAACGGAGGTCATGGGTGTCAACAAATACATTTTGTACGAACACATTAGGACTACAGGAATGCTGTAATTAAAAAATACACCATTATTAAGTCTCCTGATTGATTAGGTTGATTCTTCTGGGTGCTTGAGAATTAAATATCAGTTACTTACATTAAGGTAGCGCCCAATGTTTCCCACTTGATTTGCATCCATAATATAGACACGCTCATTTGGTCCATAAAATTTGCGAACTGATTGAAAGCGTCGAACTGGAGTATCAGTAATAGGTGTCTTTGTTAAGGGCTTTGGTGTAAAGCTTGAAGGCAGACGTTCTAAAGGAAAGAGGATAAAATATATTGAGAAAATTTAACAAAGCTTTAAAAAATGCAGGGAATTTCTGTATTGGCATACCCATTTTGTCATCATCACTCCCGTCATCATCTTCAGCATCATTTTTCTGAGAGGTTTCTCTTCTTTTGCTCCCTTTATCACCTGCTGCAAGGATAAATATGACAACTAATTTACAAGCCAGGTGACAAAATCCAGAAAGGAACTATGAATGATGAATTGATACATTACTATTTCTACTGTCATCCCCAGAGTCCAAGTCAGCTGCAGTTCTCTTCCGTAATCGAGATCTGCAATAGAAAAATGGCTATTGTTATCAAGAGATTACAGGAATTGAATAAATTTCAAACAGATTAATTACCTAATGGAAGCATCTGAGTTACTATCCAGTGAGGCTTTCCGTCCTGACTTGTAGTCAGAGTCACTTTCTCCTTTGTATCGGCTTCTCTCTGCATTTTCTGAAAATTTACAAACAAAACTTAGTTGTATAGCCATGACATGAAAGATAAGCAGAATAGTGGCATGTGTTGTTTTTTAGCTGTTTGTGTTTTAGTTTGTTAGGTTTTTATCTTATGATTCTCTATAATGAAACCTACTGTCTACAAAATCTTCTTCTTCTTCTTCCTCTTCATCTTCAACATCACTCTCATAGTCCTCTTTCATACGCTCCACAACTTCTATGTAGTCTAATTCAGCAAGGTAATCATCACCTTCTAATTCACCAATCTGGAAAGAAAAAGAAACAACAAATATGTTGGTGAAACAGAAACTGGTCTTCATTTTATTATTCTCTACAACCTTGAATCCAATTTTTTCAGTCACTACAACAGTACTCACAGTATTTGCAGTTTCTTCAGTATAAAGGTATCCAGCATAGATACAAATAAATGTTCCCTTTGGGATATCATTCACACATCGTAAACCCCATCCTTTGTTTGGTGTTTTGAACAGCTGTAACTGCAACTGCAGTGGGTGCTGGACAACTCTATTCAAGCATGTTTTCTTTGAACACTTGCACCTGCAAATAATGCACAATACTGTAAATAAATAAAATGGTTCAGTTATGAAATGAGGGAAAATGGTTCGAGGGAAATACATACTGTTCATTGCATTCATAAATGCCAGTGATAACACGCTCCTGTAGTCGTTTATAGTAATAACCAACATTTGGATCCTCCACACCACCAGGGTATAGCGCAGAACCCTGTATAGTAAGTTTCCAACAAGCACACTTTTCTTTGTTCTGCAAGTAAGACAAAATTCATGTAGAACTTGCACCAAACATTTTCTCAAAAACATCATATTTAGTACTTTTCTAAACTGAACCTACTTGACAATCATCAGTACAATCACAGCCACATAGGAAGGCAGGATCATTGTTTAATGGCACACCTTCATACGGTTCGCGTTGATTTTTGTAAATTAAATTAGCAGGGAGCGAATTATCTACATAGTTGATCAATGGTATTTTAACATTTTCTCTGCCACATGTAATGTCCTGTTATAATATAAAAAGAAAAACAATTGAAAACCCTGAAGTATTAATTGAAACACAGCACTCAACACATAAAAGAAAAGAAAAGAACTTAGCATACCTCCTGCACAATATGTTTTTTTAATTTATCTGTGAGAGTGAATTCGGACAATGCATTGACCCAATAGTCAAAGTCAAATAAATCAACAGACATTTCCGATTTACAAATGCGTAAATACCTATGCAGTTCTTGCATGTTTCGTAACCTTCTCCCACAAGGAGCAGTATAAAGGATTGTGCTTTTCTTCTTAAACCTTGGTAATTCCCTACAGAAAAAAAAATACCTTGTATAAAATAGTCATTTTGCCTAGATGAAACAAAAAAGAAATTCTTAATTACCTTTGCCACCCACAGTAGAGAGGGATTGACAATGGATTGTAACCTCGCATTTTCACAGGGTCATACTTAATCCATCCAATACAATGGGGGCCACATGTATGAGGTTGAAGTCGCTTAGGCATGAGAGCATCCTTAGGCAGTTGTAGTTCCTGCATATGGAAAAGCATCAGTGTTTCAGAACATTGTTTGGCCGTTCGTTTCAATGTTACTCATTATTATTATAATTATGTTTTACAGTCTTACCTTAACAATACCAATGTTATCTGGGCTGAAAAACAGAGTTTTAGAGGTTGGCGTCTGTGGAATGACAGCATGAATTTCATGTTTCTTAGATGAAGTACTCTTTCTAGCTACAGCACGGACAACTGTTGATGGCGCTGATACTGCAGTGGGTGCTGGAAAAAATAAAATCAGCACTCAAATGACCTCTGCCCCTTTTATTTTATTCATTCACATAAAGACAAATCACAAAGAAGTATTTACCAGCGGGTTCACTGCCTTCATCTTCAATTCCAGTGTTCTGAGTATATTCTACATATGGTTGATTTACCTTTGAATATACAAAAGAACAAAAATTAGCTCTTGAATAGCTCCACCCCAGATCAAATTTTAAGACAGAATAGATAAAATGTACATACCCTTCTTACACCCATTCCACGCATGCGAGTTATTGTGCCTGAGCCAACTGCCTGAGCCTCAGCTTGTTTGGACAGTTCATTGAAAAGGGGATGTAATCGAGTAGATCCCCGATAAATCCACTCTGTGCGCTTATCAGCATCAAAACTCATTTTGACTAAGGACCCATCAACTTCTACTACTCGGGCAATCCACCATTTACCTGGAGAGGAAAAGACCGACAGATGAATAGAATGCTCTTGCTGAACTCATCATAGTTTGACCATTAATTTCCTCCTTACCATTCCATTCGGTTTTAACAACTTGGTTTGGGGCCAGTTTCACCATGGGACGTTCAGGGTACTGGTTTAAGTATTTACGAATGAATTCACGTGAGTCAGGATGAATGTCATCCCAAACATTACTAGAACTCTCACAGACTACTAAGATTTTATTATGAGGGACATACTGTGCGTAACCATCATCAAAGAATACTAGATATCTGAAAACAATCATAAAGGTGAGTTATTATGTGACACCACAACCAGATCAAACCTGCAACGCATACCTACCTGTATCGATTATTTGGTTTTGGGGGTTCAGCAATGAGGCCAGAATAGTAGGATCCTCCTTTGTTTTGGTTGTTACTTTCATCATCTTGAAAAACAGCTATAACTCTAGTACCAACCTCCAGACGAACAGAAGCTGGGTTGGGATAAGCCATGTGCTTTCCTTGCACTGTTTTAATTGAGAACTGTTTTTTATTTGCTTGAAGTTCCATTTTTACTTTATACACTGTATTTGTAATCTTTTTTTTTTCACACAATAAAATTTAAAAAAAATAAAAGTAAAAGTTATTAAATTTAACAAAATGATTTTAAAACACAAACAGTTTTTTTATAAAGGTATATGAGCTTACATAATTTGCAGCAGATGTGTTGGTAACATCGATTACACGTCCACGGAGCCAAACACCAAAGAAACTCATTTTCATGACATATACAATATCATCTGTACGTGGTTTGGGACGCACAAGGGGTCCAATTGGAGGTAATGGAGCTTGAGGAATATTAACCTCCCTGAGAGCAACAATTTCCTGACTCTGTAAACACACACAAAAACCATAAATAGAAGTATTGGTGTAATTTACATCAAATTGAAAGACATCAAATTGAAAGGGGAAGAAAGCCTCTCCCTAAAGTAATCAGTACTAACACATCCATCAAGACTTGTTGGAGATATTGGCCTGTGAGGTGAATGCAGTGAATGATTTGTGACTCTCTTCATTGCAACTCCTCGGTGCGGCATAAATGGTTGATATTCTTGAATATTTTGAGGATACTTGGTGGAAGTATCAAATTGTTGAGGTGTTGTTGAGGGCAGTGTAAGAGTTGCTGTATCAAGGCTTGGTACTTGCTGTAGAATCATTGCAAAACAAAGATGAACAACAAAGCTACACAATACTTCACAAAATTTGGAACTAAGATGTATACATACTCTTATGATAGCGTTGTGCTTTTCATACACTTTCTTACGCATTTCATCAATATCTTTTTGGAGCTGATCATATTGGTCATCAATCTTTTTCCCTTCCACTAGTGAGGCAACATTTAGATAGTTAATAGCAGCAGAGTAAATTTATCAAAATTTAACATCAGACCTATCTCTCCCCACAACTGATGTACTTACACTCTAAGGAAGTCATTTTATCTGTTAACATTCCAGTTGCTTCTTTGATCTGGTAATCAAGGTGGTACTTCGAAAAAGATTCATTCAAGGCCATTTCCAAGTTCCTTTCTAGATCAAGGAGTACAGAAAAGGGAAGAGGTTCCTCTGCAACAAAAAAGTCGAAGAATCTCACACCAATCAGTATCAAATAAAAATGAAACAATATAATACAATTTCAGACAAACATGCTCACTAACCATTATCGGAGGTTTCTTCATCAGACTCGAGATCAACAATAGGAATGTCATTAATACGAAAATTTTCATATGCAAACAATGATTCCTGGTGACACAACCTATTGGCAAGTTCCTGGAGAAAACAAACAGTTAAAGGAGATACTGGGAAAGATAGTTTACAGTGTCTCTGAATACATACCGCATGATGATCAACTGCTGCTTGAAAACACTCTGCGCAAACATCATACTTTCCCTTCTTCAACTTGCAGCCATAATAGCTTATCACAAACATGGGAGCACTCTTCAGATCATCGCCAGATTTACAGCCAACATTCAAGCACGTATTTTCTGAATTTCTTTTAGGGTAACAGGTGACTTGCTTGGATTTTTCCTCATCTGTTATATCTACTACATATCTACAAGTTGATACATTTCTTGATTGTTTAGCTTGACCTATAGAAACATTCTTCTCAGCAACATTATTGGCCCCAGATTTCTCTTTGTTGAGCGACGAAAACTCCTCTTGGTTCCGCGGAGGAGACTCTGCCACCTCAATGACATCATCTACCGTTGGGTCGCTTCTACCTTTAAAACCTTTGGACTGCCCACTGGGCACTTTAGGATCTGTTGCTTTGTCTTTGGGCAAAAGCGTGGACTGATTCTTTGCCACTGAATTACTTGGAGTTCTTACGGAAGCTGAAGTAGATGGTTTGCTTTTCTCTGTATTTGAAACTGAAGGGGGAAGATCAAATACCTCAATAATATCATCTGTACCAGATTTATCCTTGGCTGAGTGTTTCTTAGGTACATTTTCAGCTAAGGAAGAGAGTAATGGCAATCTTTCATTGATTGGTATAGGAGTGAATACTTGAATATCTTCCGTTTTGTCATTTTTTGAAGACACTTGAAGCTTCTTCAATGTATCAGAGCTTTGCTTTGACGCGCTTGTTGAAACTCCGCTTGATGGTGGATTTGCTTTCTCTGGCTCAAATATAATATCATCATCATCATCATCTGAAATTTCCAGTATCTCTAGAGGCGCCGAGGGTTTGTTCGGTGGTTTAGGAGTTTTGGGTGTCGAAGCTGGGGTCTTCGAAGCACCAAGCTGGATCGGAGTTGTCATGATACAATCATCATCAGTGAGATCTACCTCCATGATGTCTGGAAAAAGAACCAGGGAAAAACTCTGAAAAAGTTGACGGGACACGTTCAAATTAAAATTTTGATTCTCTCTTTTGTCAATTACCTTTCGGCTACAGACTGCAATATTCAAGCAGAAAACTGAAATGCAGTCCGAATCCACATAACCTAGACGGAATCCGCGCCTCGATGTTAAACACCGGGCAAATACTTGAACCTAACAATTAGAGTGGCTTAGGGGATGTTGCCATTGCATTTTTAACGGTTCCTCATTTTCGACTGGAAGATTCAACATTAATTGTTGTTTCTTTTCGATAGAGTTTACACTACAACCACGACGGCAGCAGTATCAACAGAAAAAATTATTTTTAAATTGAACGACGGGCCTTAAAATTTTTCATAGTAGCCTCGCGATTGTTGTTGTACTGTTTTAGGTTAGGATTTCGTGTTGTTTACTTCTTTCAGTCTAACTGTGATTCCAGGACATTTCCAAGCTTTGGCTGGTGTCTAGTCATTTAAAATATGAGCATTACTCCGACTCCGTCTGACATTGATGAAGACTTCGATATTTACGCTGATTTAGCGGATCCAAATGTGAATGAAAACCTCTCGGAAGATGTGAGTTGGGTTACCTTTATCTTGTCACTTGGTTTTCAAAGTTTTTGGAGGTATATGCCCTAATGACCCACCAATTTATCTTTACAGAAAAATGATGTTGTGAAGTCTCTCAAAGAACAAGTTTCATCACTACAATCTGAAAATGAAACTTTGCGCAATAGTAATAAAACCCTGTTGGCCAGTAATAAAAATTTAAGTGCCAACATTTCGATTCTCTATAAGACTGCAACAGAAGAAATCAAGCGTAAAGACAAGGCCATAGAGGATTTAACAAGAGAGTATGTTTTGCTTATTTGCTTTTATTTTGCCCCTGTAACTGCAAACATGACATTTTTTAATTGTTCCAGGTTAGATAGCTACTTCTTTCGACGTAATGGCAGAAAACCACCGGACCGTGGGTTAAAGAATGTCAACCCCTCAATCATTGAAACATTGACGGAAAACTCCAGACACCAGCTAGATGGTGCCCCAACTATCCATTCTTCACTTACCAGTTCTGAAAGAAAATCAAAACCAGACAATACAACTTTCACAGAATCTTCCTCAAGTTCTAGGGAGATCACCATAAATTCAGGAAAAACAGAAAATGCTCTGCCAGAAGCGAAAGCTGAGAAAATTATCAAAGAAGTCCCCAAGAAGAGGAAAGTCATTGAATATAAAGATGTTGAGGAGAAAAGACCTGTTGATGATGGAACTAGTGACAGGAAAGTGATTCCGCCAAAATTGAGTGTGTGGGATAGGCTAGGGTATCAGGGAAATAACCCTTTATCATCTAACGAGACATCAACCAGTGTATCTCTCAATGTGAATGAAATAATGGAGACAAAGATAAAAAGAAGTATTCCTAAACTGAGTGAGAAGAAAGAAGACAGTCAACAGACTCCTTGTGCAGACACTTCCAAATTATCAAATACAAACCTATTGATAGGAGAAACACTTTCCAAACAAGTGGAACCCCTGAAATCTAGTGAAGTAGAAGCACCTGCATTGTGTCTCCTGAAAGCAGCACAAAGCTCAGTTGTAAAAGGTACTGAATCACTACAGGGTCCTAGGAAGAAAGAAGATCCTGCATGTGAACTTTCTCAGCCTTCGTTGGTCTCAAATGAAGACAGGATACTCCCAAAAAGTTTTGTGCCTTTCCAGCCCCCCTTACCTCTTGGGGATCCCTTACCACCACCTCCTCTACCTTCAAGCACCCCCCCGCCTACTCCAGTTAAAAGCATCCAGCATGAAGAAAACAAAATTACTAGTGAAATCCCCGATCTCAAAGACACTGTATCAACAGGTTTAATCTCATTGCAAGATGATTTATGTGTTAATAGTCGTTCTAATGTAGACATTACATCTGATGATCATCAGGAAAGTGTAAAAAATAATAGACCTCGCTGGTCTGATGAGAACCTTTACACACAGTGTCCTTTCAAACCCCGTCGACGAGCAAAGTCCGTTGTTGTTATTGAGGATGCTGATGATGGGGATAACAAAATCAATTTGAAAAGCACTGAATCATTAAAAGTTGAAACCAGCTCAAGGCCAAATAAATCTTCTGACAAGTTAAAAAGGACCCCCCTAAAAAAGTCTGATAATCAAGAAAATAGACTATCTTCTGATTTCCGTCTGTACCAGACTCAGCGCTCCGTGCATAGTAACAGACATTTGTCATTGAAGTCGTATGTTCATTTACCTGAACGACGCAGTCCCTCTGAACTTCTCAATGGTAGGAGTGGTAGAATAGCAAGAATTTCTCATCAGGACAAGGTTCGCGCACGTTTTCGTGATCGCCGATCTCGGAGTTTAAGTCCCCAGAAAAAGAGACTTCGAGAAGATGATCATAGATCGAAAATTGGTCAACGAGCTACTGGGTCAAGAGATGGCAGCCGAAGAATTTTAACTGAAGATTATGGTGCAAAAACAGACAAAATCCAAGATGGAATGAAGTCAAAGTCCTTAAAGAAAAAACCTACTATCCCAAAGGAGGAAGGGCATAAACCCAAGGGGAAGTTTGCAGAATTGTTTGGGGAGTCTTCTCCAGAACCAGAAGAAAAACTTTCCAAAAAAACAAATGGAGATCTAAAAAGTACCCTCTCAATATCAACTAGCACATTGAAACCCAATCCCCTAAAGGAAGAAGCACCCTTGCCAGCAGCCCCTCTGAAATCATCCACAAACATTGGCTCCAAGAATAACATGCCTCCTGAGGGTGATGTTATTGTTATCAAACGGCGACCGAGGTCAAGTATCAAACTTGGTAATAGTGAGGACGCTGCTCACAACTCACGAATGTTTTCTGTCAAGACGTCACAGCAGGAGTCACTCAGCTGCTCGACACCACTTTCCAAAGATGGTAATGGTGCATCTGATGCAGGCAAGAAAAGTGTAAAGCCCTCAAAAGCAGAAGAACAGAGTTCGAAACAAATTGTGAATATAGCTACAACACCTTTGTACTTCAGGGAACGAGGTGTCAAACGAAGTACCAGTGATGACTGTGCCCTTGATGAAGACTTGCTTGGTGATTCAGAAGAAAGTGTGACAAATGCTGATTCAGATGATACCTACAACCCTAAAGTGTCTCGTGGTAAATCCAGTAAGCGGAAACCTTCAAAAAGAAAAAGGTAAAATGGACCTTTGTTTTTTGAACCATTTGTTCCTTAAGCTGTGATGTATTTTTCTACAGAGACTTATAGATACTCAATGATACAGTATAAGATCTAGTCTCCAGCTAGCAGATCTTTTTTATAAGAATTTCTAAGAATTGACGACATTTCTTTGCTGATGTTGTTTCATATAATTTTACTTCTCTTCTGTCTTTTCTGTTGGGTACAAAAGATCCATTTTTATGCCTTTTTCAGTGTTTTCGAATGCATGTCAATGTTGTTACATCACAATAAATTTGTTGCTAGTCAGACTTGAAAATATTTTTGAAAATGCGCAGTCAGGGATGGGGCTATTAATGTAATCACTTAGTTAAATTATTTATTTCCTTTTCAGTCGTAGAATCAACATAAGCAATACAAAATTACAAAGATTGTACAAGCATCAGAACACCTGTTTCTGAGCCAGACTAAAGTCAAATCGAATGATTTGGGTAAGCTTAAGAAGGGATCACAAGCACATCATGTTTCTGGCCCACACATTTCTACCAAGATTCAAGGTATTGAAGCCTGGTAACATAGGAAAGAACAACAATAAAAGTAGAGGTGTAGGGAGAAGTAATAGGCATTTCACATAGGACAGAGATGAAAGATAGCACAACTTGCACGGTCTTTCTAAATAGGGAAGAAAGAAATGGATGTGACTAGATCTACATATATACACTGTAACCTTAACTCACAGTATAAATTAACTTCAAATGAAAAGGCTTGTTTTGTATTCAGCTAGTTTCGATCTATCCTCATCTTATTTTATCTAACTTCGGACACTTCTTTAGGATAGTCAATCTCAAAAGTCTAGGAGAGCAGAAATATACATTCATTAAGGAATCAAAAGAAAACCCTAGGTCATTGAGTCATGAAGTCCTAATTTACCACAGAAAAGATAACTACCATACCATTTAAGATAAAAAATCATCACTATGTTCACACACTTAACTTGCTGAGAAAAGAAGAAATTTAACATCTGCAAGGTAACTTGAACTAACTATGTCATGAATTAATCATTGGTAATAATTCCCTGATAACATACATACAAAAGATCAGCTCACCCCCCTAAAAAAAAAACAACAAAAAAAAAACACATTTCTTTTCAAAGCCTCTCCAATGTGACCCAATGAAGCTACACCATATCCAAGGCATTTGTATTGCAAATCCAATTTCCAAATCACCTTTCACAAAAACTCCTTTGATTATGAAAATTGTAATACATTCTGTAACCGTATTGATAAAAATTTAACTTAAGGCATAAATTAGTTGCAATCTTGAGTAAACAAAAGTTACAACATTCATATCTTATCCTTATATCTACATATTGGTTTGGTATAATATTATTGAAGCCTGTTGACGAAGCATATTGCTTCGATGACTGGTGTTATCTGCTCAGTATCTATAAAAGGGAACTCAAGAAAATCTGTACAACTGACGTGTTATGTTGCAGCAATTGAATAGTCTTAAGACTGTCTAATCAGAATTTAATTAGTCCAGCTACTTGGGCAAACCAAACTTAACTAATACACTATTTTTGTTAACAAGTGTACAATATGAGTCCTAGATTTAATTGAAGAATGTATTATGTTAGCAGGCATAACTCTAACATTTCTGACAATACCTAATTTGTCTTAAATTATGTGAAGGATCCAACCCCAGCCTTACAACTAGTTCTGTTACAAAACAAAATGGTTAAATTTTTTAAAAAAAAAAAAAAGAGAGAGAAAAGAAAGGAAAAAATGTAAACTTGGAACAGTTTAACATGTGGGTTTTGCTTCCCAGAAAGTAAATGATCCAACAATGAGAGAGACAAAGCATGGCTGCAATTAATGAATATGAGCGTGTGAAAACTAAAGCAATTGTCTATTTGCAGGTACATAGTATGACATGAGACTAGAATAAGAACTTTCTTTGACCCCTAACATACTTCATCTACATTCAATGAAAAATAACATAATTTAGGAGCATAGATATGTAATTAAAAAATTTAAATCCTATCATAAATGAGCAAAACGGTGGGCATTCTTTGAAAAGTAATCAATTTAACTATGGGAAGATAGTAAAATCAAATAATTTCCTAATTTGACAATAAAAAATCACTTCCTTAGGTGATTGGCAAACACAACTAAGGTACCGTTTTGTTAACAACTTGAAAGGCAATGAAAACTGATGATAGATTTTAAAGTGTTCTAAATTTGAGTCAGACATTTAATGAAATATGTGAATAACAATTGTTGAAGCTGTAGGAAAAACCTAGCATTATTTGCAACACAAAATTTCAAAAGTACTGATTTTGAAGACTCACAATTCAATTTTAATTCCAACCAACGCTTGTCTCTCCAAAAGATTGGATTTCAACTGCAATACTTCCAAAATGAACATAATCCTGAGAGTTTATTGAAGACAAAGACCACAAAAATTGTAGGTGCTCACAAGACTGTCCAAAACTTGTTGCAATTGTTAAAATCTTGAACCAGGCATGATGATCATTTAAATACAGACCGTAATCCTGGGCGAGGTTTGGTTACATTACCTGGGATGTCCTTAGCCACACTTGCAGCAGTGGGTCTCATGAAACGTAAACCACTTGTTGATACAGGTTTTAAAGTCACTTTATTGAGTGTTGACACTCTCTTGGGGGACGTTCCCACACTACTGCCACTGCTACTGCTACGACTTGCAGGTATACCAGAGCGAGAGTTTTCCTTGAAACTAGTACCAAGACCTGATGTCACTCTTGGACGTTGAATAGTTGCACCAATACTACTACCACTGCTGCTGCTCCTACTTGCAGGGACAGCAGTTTTAGGATCTTTTAGCTGAACAGGAGCTAATGGTCTCTTGGTAGTGGATGACAAGCGATTGAGGCCAACTTTGTTCAGATCTTTACTCGTGGAATTATTAGAATCTGGATTAGATCTACGCAAATTTGAAGTGAGAGACTTAATTGCTGAGGTATATCCAGTAAGTCTACCTCCATTAGAGTGACTTGAAGACTTGGGCACAGGAGATGTAATATTTCGTACTGTATTTACAGATGTTGCACTTGCAAGTGAACTACGGGAACTACGTAGGCTGGTTCTAGAGTTTGATCTTTCAACTGTTGGTTTCTTCAATGGTGATCCACAGTGATTGTCAGCAATGAGGGACGTGCGTGAGCCTCTCAAACTTGATCTAGAGTTCGACCGTTCTACACTAGAATTGCGATTATTTTGCCTGGTCGAGATAGGTTGAGAATTCTGTGGATTCCCCTGTCTTAAACTAGGAGAACGTCTTGGCACAACTGTGCTACCGCTACGTCCTGTTTCTGCTCGAGATCCAAATGCAGCTTTCACAGAGTTGCTTCTCTCAAGTTTCTGTCGAACAGTGCTTATGTCACTATTCTCTGGTAGTTTCACAGGCATTGATGACAAACCGTTCATTGAAGCCTGAGTAGCCAGATTGGTGCTGCTACTTGTTTCACCACTTCCACTGCTGTCAGCTCTGGTCAAAGGAGCAGTTTTCTTACGAGCTGGTGAATCAACAACATCAGAGGATGTTCCCTGACTGGGAGTTTCTGAAACTAGACTTTGTGTTTCTTCAAAGCCCTCATCCAACAAATCATGTTCCGATCTTAACTTACCATGCCCAGCGGGAGTTGAAGCTTGGACACGAATTTCAGGAATTAATTCATTACTTTGACGCGTTTTTGCAGTATGGACAGCAGGTGAGCCATGAAGTAAGTACTGACTGCAAGCTGATGGGCCTTTTGGAACTCTAGGAACAGTGGGAGTTAACTCGCCCCCACCACGAGACTGTTTCAAGGCTTCATGAACTTGACTAGGTTCAATCATACTGCGAACTCTATCACGTGGAGTGACTTTGGATTCATTAGGCCGATTACGAAGGGCTAGTAAAACATCATTGCGATCTATGCCAGTAAGAAACCGAGAACTAGACCTTCCTGCTCTTGATGTTACATCTAAATTCTGAAGTTCCTTACTAGATTTGGAAATGTCAGCCAGGGCCTCCTGTGTGACACCATCTGAATCATCAGCTACTTTATCTCTTCCTGTCTCTTTTTCGGGGCTAGGTCTGTGATTAAGACGGTCTTGCCATTTCTTCAGACGCTTTTGAGATTCCTCTGTAAGCGGATGAGTGAGTTCCTGTGCTGCACTGATGACAGATGAATGGGCCTGCTGTGTATTGGGTCGCAAGATTTGTTTCTCAGGGATGAGCTGTGATGAGGATGTCTCTAATTTTGACTGTGCTTCATCACAACTATCCTCTCTCCGTAATGGTGGTTGATCCTCTTTGTCAGAGTCCTGACTCTTCTTGTAGCGCCTTGTGCGCCGGGCGGAGGAAAATCGCTCAAACTGTCCATCTCCCATCTCCTCTTCATCTTGACCTTTAATTTGTCCATCAGGGCTTATCATTTTAGTGAATGATTCTGCACTCAAAACACGCTCTTTACTTGCACTGCGACGAGGTGTCTGCCGCCTGTTATGCTGTTGCAAGCCGTAAAACACTTTACGAGTAGCTGGAGGTGTCTCAATGTTGTCAGAGTCAATTTCAATACGATCACTGACAATGTCATTTTCGCCAGATGGCGGCTTTCGTAAACGTCTCGGCACAGATGGTGGTAGCTGGTCATCATCCTTATCTCTTTCCTTCTCATCATTTCGACCAACCAATGACTTGAAAAAGTCCTCAGTAACATCAACAGTATTCCGATACTTGTTGAGTATTTGAGACCTTGAAAGAAGAGGACTGCCTGGAGCACTTACTACACCGCTATCTACTCTAAGTTTTGACTTATCCAATAATGTAGGTTCTGGTTCAGTTACAGTGGGTACATTCTTACGTTTCACCTCTTCTTTAATAGCCTGTGCAAAAAAAGGAAAAGTAGTATATCAAACGCATGCTCGAAGGTGCAAATTATTTAACTATTGTACTTCTTACTTGTAAGGTATTTGATGTTGATGAAGAATCCATATTTCCTCTTGACCTCATCCTTCGTAGTCTTCTAACTTCTAACTCAGTTTCCTCGGATGTGTTTGGAACATTGAGATTTGATTTCCGCCATGAAGATTTATCTTTTAAAGGAGGTTGTGCTTCTGAAAAAATCAAGAAAGACAGTTCAAGGATACTGAGGTAATTAACAGGTGTTTCTCAAGCACAGCAGCAAGATACTTTCAAAGCAATTTTAAAACAGAAATTTGAAAATTTCTATCCAAAAATCTATTATAGGGAAGATCAAGATCACATATTGCCATTAAAAAAAAAGCATTTTGTGTTAATATCACCATTGAAGCAATTAAAAGCACAGCTTAACACAACACAAAATCAAAAGAATCGCACCGGCAATGGCTTCCATGGTTCCTACAACATCAGTTTTGTCAATTGTTGGCTTCCAATCGGGATAAACACGTTTGTATTGAGGATTTGATAGAGATTCTTGAACACCAGGACCAAACTGGGATGTAGAACTGGGAGCTGTTTGAGGTGATGGGGATTGACTGTCGGCAAGCTTTCCCTCAGGGAGTGTGTCTAATCCACCACTACGGCCATCACTCTCTGCATGCAATGAACCACATTCAAAAAATAATGGCAAGCACTCACACATAAAACAAAATACTTGTGCATAACACAAAAAGGATTTAGAAAAATAAGTTCTGAACACAAAACATGCTAAACCACAAACATCTACAGGCAAATTCCAACTCAGTCATAAAACTTATTTCATTGACTCTAAAATGTGCAAATTATACCATACCAGAATCTGCTTCTAAGGAACGACGATTATTCTGCAAACGTCTGGAACGTCGGCGTAAGTCCTCTGAATCCCTCTCCTCTTTCTCATTTTCTTGAAGCCAAGCTTCAATTTTTTGTCGCCAAGCCCTGAAAAATGGAAAATGGAGTAACAGCAAATTAAGAGTAAACACAAACATATAACTATTAAATTGGAGGGTCAAACTCACCTTGGTTTTTCTTCCTGCTCAAGGGGAGGTAATTGGGGAGTTGGAGTTGGAGTCGGAGAAGTTGGTCTTTCACGATCTCCACCGAAATCTGCACTCAAAAGCTCTGGCCGACGACGACCACTACCACCACGGGCTCTTCGTGCCCATGAACGATCTGCAAAACATTTCAAAACTCAGAAGTAGGTCATGAAATGGAATAAAGGGATGGATCAGAAAGTTTTGGGCATACCTAAACTACCCCACGATTTTCTTTCCCTTGACGCATCTTGCCCTGATGCTCGCAAGAAATCCATCAAGTTTGAGTCGTCTTCTTCAGAGGGAACACGACTCCTCCTCCTTCTGAGACTACCAGTAGGAGTAACATCTACAAACAAATATAATGTAAATTATAACAAACAAATAAACAGGATAAGCTCATTGAATTCAATAATTAATTGAACCAGGTATTTCAAATATACCAGGGGAATAAGTATCATCTTTGCCACTTCCTGGTGGCTGGTCTGGTGATTGGCCAGAGAAAGAGCCTAGTCGTCGTCGTTGCATCATTGGGGAGCCTGGAATAGATACTTCTTCTTCTGAGGCCATGCTACGAACTTTCAAATCCCTTTCCAGCCCCTTCTTCTGTTGAAAGCCTGATCTGATATCATATAGAAGGTTGTCTACGAGCTGGCTTTCAGATTCTGTTGATCCTGAACCTAGATGACCACTCACTTCAAGAAAACATAAAAATATGAATAGCTGCTCTTCAGGGTACTTTTACAGACATGAAAACATGATAATCTACTCACAGTGTCTTCTCTTGGCAGCTAATTGTTCCTCTCTCTGTCTACGTCTTGCAGTAGCTTGCTCCTCCTGAATTCTGCGTCGTTCATTTTCAACAACAGCTTGGCGGAATTTCACACAGAAACCTTGGAATATTCTGAGGCACTCCTCCAACTTAAAGGATGCAACATCTTCACAAAAGAAATCAGCAAGACTACGTCTTAAGGATTCAAGTTCTTCCATATCCTTTTGCAGGCCAAGAACTTCACGCTCAGCCATCTAGCAAAACATAATGTAGTGAGCTCACTTCATCAGTAAAAGGCAAGAAAGCTAGAGAATAAAGTAATTACCTGAAGGAACTCAGCCATCTGACTTTTAATGTCACTATCTGTGCTTTGCAGTTCAACTTGTTTTTTTATTTTTTTTATCCTCACATCAAGAGCATTAATATCATTTTGTATCTGTTCTACTGTAGTTCTGTTAACATAATTTGTGGAGAGGAAAAAAAAGTGTTAGGACAGTACATTTTGAAGTTTGCCATACTTGCACCTCAAATTGGATTAATGGAAAAGAACTTTCTTACTTTGTGGCATCTTCTAGAGCTGTTAAGTCATCTGTGAATCGTAAAAGATCTTTTCTTTTCTTTTCAGCTTGCTAATAAAGAAAGCAAAAAGGTAGAACAAAAGTACAAGACTGAATTTTAACTATGCAACATAATTAACATTATGAATAAAAGGGATACAAACCATAGCAACATAATGAATCAGATGCATTCCTGGTTTGTTAGCACGGATATCTGTAAGCTTCTGCAATGAGCTCAGTTTGACACCGGCTGCGTTACCTGCATATCCACCCTGTGAAATGAATTCATAATAGTTACAAACAGCTCATTAAAAATTTTATATCTAAAAAAATCCGAAAGTTTTAACAAAACTTACAGAATTTAGGAAATTCCCCACTCGAACCACCATGTATAAGACTTCTTGCAATGGCTTATTAGTCATTAGATCTATTTTTGAAAAGAAAAGGAAATCATTGTATTGTTACAGAATTATTTATTAAGAGTAAAACAACAACAACAAAAGCATAATGTCGAATTTACCTTCTCCAGCAACAATCATTGAATTGATACTCGGCTCTAAATAACTCATGTTAGAAGCGAATTCTTCTTTCAACAGCATGCTTTCAATTCTTAGCTTGTAACTAAACAAAGATAATTTGAGAATTAGGTCCCTTTTGCAGCATATCTGACAAGACAATCAGAACAGAAACTTACTTGGGTACTTTAATAAGTTGAAGCAAGAATTTTTCTGCATTTCCTAGCTTGCTGGCATCGCCATCAAATGCTCTTAACATTTCTAGCTCATCTACCTCAGGTAAAATTTTTAATAATCCTCGAAGCTTTTCTGCACCAATGTCATCATGAGCACCATCTCGAATGAGCTGAATAATATCTTCATTGGAACTACGAGAGAAAAAGTTTGAAGAGCATTATAAAACTCAAATTTCTAAGAAAGGTACCAAAGTTGGACATCATAATAATGCTTTGCTCTTACCTGCGGAATTGTTTGAGAAAAATATTTACATTTAAACTACGCTTTCCATCCAGTAATACAATCTAGAAAAAAAGGTAAAGTGTTAGAAAAGGATGAAGGGCACACAAAATTTAGATGGAAAGGTTGGAAATATACCTCAGATGACTCTTTCCTTCTCCTATCAGAATCAGGAGTTTCTCGTGCTGCTCTATAAGGTACAGTAGCTGTGGGGACTGGGGGTGCTTGCTGACAGAACAGGCCCTCCATTTCCGCCCAGTCCAGCTCTGCCATCGGCGAACCCTGATGGGAGCGTGCCACCAGAGCCCACACATTGTGTTTACCAACAACCTAACAACAAAACACATTGTTTACAAATCTGAAATCTATTATAAAATTGAAACAAATGGCATGAGCATTACCTTGTTATTTGGGATTTTATTCCAATTAATAGTCTTCATTTTTGCTTTTGGTGTTGGAATCTCTTGTTGAGGAAGGAGTCGTTGATTACTAGAGTCAGGCGGTTCAGGGCTGGAACCACTTGGTGTGGACCTTGACATTTCCTGAGCGACCGGAGGAGGAGGGCATGGGGGTGGTGGAGCCCCATTCCTGCTGGGTTGAGGAGGAGCCGCAGGAGGACAGGGAGGTGCAGGGACAGCCGGAGGAAATGGAGGTGGTGGAGGTGTAGCCGCCCCATTTGTCGGGGGAGGTGGAGGTGGAGGTATTCCCACTCCAGAGGCAGAGATAAGCGACTGCTTGCGACTGCCACATGACGAGTCCTTTTCCTTGTCAGGTGTTCGGTGTGGATGGCAGTTGCAATGTGAGCATAGTTTTGACTGGGACAAACCAGAATAAAGTAAGATTAATAAAAGTACAGACTAAAAATGCAACAGCTGAAAAATAATGAATAACTAATATGTCAGCAGTCATTACTTGTAAAGATGGTGATCTGAGAAGTTTAGATGCATCCTGTCGGTTGTCGAGAAGGGTAGCTCGATGTACAAGGGTTTCAGCTGTGTCCCAAATTATGTCACTCACTGCTTCCTTCGGATCAACACTCAAAAGGTGTTGAAGAATGCTTAAAAATGGAATTTCTTGAGGTGTGTCTGCAACCTGTAGGTGTCCACAAAAAAATATTGGAATGGCGAGCAGCAGGGGTTACGCATTAGGGGCAAAAAATGATTGAAATTCAATTTTACATCCAATAAAGTAAACCACCGCACCGCACCGACCTGTCTGAGAATGGCGTAGAAAACGTCCAGGTGCGAGTTGAGGTCCACGCCCACGCCGTGCGGGGCGTGCAGGATGCTGGCCTCGTCGCTCTCACGCTGCTCATCGAACACGTCAAGCTGGACCCCAAGGTCCGGCGCGGACGGGGCGGTCTTTCTGCAACAAAAAAAATAGACGCATAAAAGTTACCGTTAAATGCAATTTCGCTAGCAAAAAAACGCCGCCCTTCCCCTGTGAGTGTAGGCAACACGCACGTCAACCCCGGTCAAGAAGGCTACCATTGTCGCATGAATGTCCGGACAAAAACGCTATTCTGGGAAAGAAAAGTCCAACTTCTCCTGTTTTTTTTAAATCCCGTCTTGGAAACGAGGGTCGTTACCGTGACATGGCAGGCACGCGTGCACCGCCATCGCCCTACCGGGCACCGATGGCGCGTGCGGCGGCCAGGCACGGCGGCACGGCAGACACGGCAGCACCCGCACGGCGCGCGACGGGCCTGACGCGTGACGCGAGGCGTGCTCGTGCTCGGCGAGGGCGGAAACGACGCGACGCGTCGGGTCCCAACTTGTGCTTGGGTCTTGTTGTCTTGCCTTGCCTGCCAGTGATTGGCTGAGTGATGGTATGGCACTGAGGGGCTGAGGACCGCCGCGACGCCCTGCCTTGGCCCGCCTCGCCTTGGCTCTGCCCGTTCGTGCTGGGCCCCGGGCCCTGGGCCCTCGGCCGTGCCATGGGCCGCCGGGGCGTCGCCGAAAGCGGCTGTGGGCATGGCCCACAGGCCCATGGCCCACAGGCCCATGGCCCGCAGTGCACACAACGGCTTCAACTCCTGCAGCGCCGAGGGGGGCACCTACTTGAGGCGCTTTTGGGCGGGCAGGGCAATGCGTGAGAGGCGAGAGGCCAAGGAGCAAGGTGGGAGGCGAGGCAGCGCCTCTTATAGATCGCCCCGAGGGGCATCATTACGATTGCCTACGTTTCAGGGTGATTTGGGGGAGGGGCCTGGCGTCTGGTTCAAGGCGAGGAAAGCGACAGGGACCAGTCTGCAGTTCAACAAGCAGGCCAAGTTCGTCTCCACTGCACCGAGCCCTGCAAGCCTGCAAGCCTGCAAGCCTTGCCTGCGAAAACGAAAACACTCGGAGCCGCGGAAAGGAAAAGGGCTGACAGTAAACAAACAGTCGTGGGCACTGGCAGTATTGGCGCCCGCGATGCGCGAAGCCGCGAGGCCGCCAAGCCGCGAGGCCAAGCGCAAACCAGAGATGCATATTTACACCGTCATCGTCTCCCTCAAGGAAAACACCGTAAAACCGGGGCGGGGGTTGTCTCACCCCGTCTTGCACTGACCCACATTCCCACTGCCAGTGCCCAACGCCCAATGCACTTACTCGCCACGGATCACGCAGCGACAGCCCTGAACCTCGCGTCCGTCGGCGGCCACCTCCGGAGCCCCCGACGCCGCCAAGACCGACCCCCGCGGCCTGGACGGCGCGGACGTCGTGGAGCCCGGCCGGCCGGACCAGGCGGAGCAGGAGCAAGTCGTTTCTCGGCCGGGAGTCTGCCCAGGTTCCGGGGGCCGTCGGTCTCGGCCGCCTCCACCAGGGCCGTCGACGGCGTGCTCCGGTACGTCGCAGACGCTCGCACTTCGCGCCGGCGCCGTGGTGGCCGCGAGCAGGAACACGGCCTCGGCCACCAGCAGCGCGCGCCTCACGCGGGTTTCACGACCACGACTCGGCTCGGCGCGCGAATGGGGCGCACTCACGCGTCCGTGTGCGGGCGGTGCGGGCCGTGCGGGCCGAGGACCCGACTGAATTTGAGCAGCGGCGGCTAACGATGGGCCCTTCGCTGCTCCCCCTCCCTCCCCCTTACTTCCTGGGGCTTATGGAGCCGTGGAGCCCCCTCCCCCTCCCCTCCCCGCTGCGTCTTCGGCGGCAGGGCGCTGCAGGCTGCAGGGGGCGGCGGCTGTTGTGCCCATGGTGGTGCCCCTCCCTGGCCCCGGCCCGGCCCCGCCGCGATGTGTGTCTTTGGTGTTTACTTCAGGAAGGCACGCGTCGGTTGGTCGGCATCCCAGATCATCCCGCCGCGCCGCCGTGGCGCTCCGAGCGCGGTCGCTACGGCAAAAGAGTTGACCCGTCGACAATTCACGAGCGCCAAACTTGATGGTAATCTTATGGGCAAACTTGTCGACTCGGGTCATTTCTTTCAGTTGCGACCGGGACAGGGACCACCTCCCCTCCTCGCCAGCGCATGGACCAGTACTCACTCGGTGTGCATGCACTTCCCCATGGCACCGCTGGTGACCTCTCCGCCGCCGAGACCGAGGCCGAGACCCATGGCCACGCAAGGGGCCTCCTTGTCCGGCAACAGGGCGAGCCGAGCAGCCGAAAAACAACACAGCCGCCGCGACGAACCACAGACTACTTGCACTGTGCACTGCCGATCATCCACTGGCTGACTGGCTGACTGACTGACCTGCCCCAGCACAGCCCCCGGCGGGGCTGGGGGGCGTGGGCGAGCAGGCAGCAGGGCGAGTCTAGGCGAGCGGCGAGCGCGAGGGGAGGGGCGGGGCGGGGGATGGCTGCACGATGCACCACCACCGCCACCGCCGCCACCGCCTCCACCGCCGGCATCCGCGTCATCTGCTCGCTCGGGGCGGCTGCTGTCCGTGGTGGCTGTCCGTAGCTGTCCAGCCCTCGCCGGCCGGCCGCCGTACTGGGGGTCCTGGTCTTCGGCCATAAACCCCCGCCTTGCCCCGCCCCGCCCCGCCTTCCCCCGCCCTCCGCGCGGATGTCAATGCTGCCTCATCGGCGGCCAGATGGCCCGTCCATGCATGCCGGCGACTTGAAAGGCATGCCGACGCGCAAAATATTTCGGCGAGGTGCAGTGCACGAGGTTGCACGACTATGCACGGCTAGGGCACGTGCACGGTGCGCGCGGCGGGGGCAATCGTAAACAGCGTGCAGTGCAGTGCAGAGCGCGACAGGGCGGCTGCCACCGCGTGGTCCCGGCGGGAGGGGGCGTCCGTCAACCACCATCGCACCCCGAGCGGCCACTCTAGCGGCCACTCTAGCGGCCACTCTAGCGGCCCCGGGGGCGGACTACGCAGTGGGCTAGCATTGGCACGCGGCGTCGTCGCGGTCCTGGACTCCACGTCGCGCACGTTTGCGCACGTGACAAACGGCTGGAGGCGCGGTCGCGGGCGAGGGGCGTTCGCGGGGTCCCCGCCAGGGCCAGGCCTTTAGCCGCCAGGACAGGTGCGCGGCGCGGCGGCGCGCAGGACGCGGTGCCAATCCGATGGCTGGGCGTCTGTTACTCTCCGCGATGCGATGGGCGTCGCAGATACGGTGCCCAACGCGGCACCAGACAATCCCCCAGTAACTCGCACGCCAAACCATCATCTTCGTTTCGTGCGGTAAAACCGGCAAAACAAATTTGAAAAACCGCATTGCTCTTTGGAACGTCATGTGAAATGTCATTGCCGGTCACAACATTGGTGCACGGACGGACGGACGGACGGACGGACAGACAGACAGACAACTCACTTGCTTCCCGCCCCCCGTTTTGCCTGGCGGCAGTATGGCCACCATAGGCGACTGTGAATCGGACGCCTTTGTGCGCAAATTGCGGCCCCAGGAGGAGGGGCAGGGGGCACATGTGGTGGAGTGTGCTCATTTGAAAAGGACGGTGGAGGGGAGGGGGAGGGGGCCAAAGCAGAGCCACACAGGACCGGAGTCGCGTTTCAATTGGCAAATTGCGAAAATTATGATTCGTGCAGACCCCGTTTCACAACCCGCATCCCGCATGGCGCGGACTGGCGCAGCGGGGCACAGCGGGGCACACGCACACAATGGCGATGGCGATGGCGTTGCGCGCCGAGAGTCGCCGGTCGCGGCCGTGAGTGCCCGCCGCGAGTACGACGTGCGACCGCACAATGGTTCGTCGAACGCTCGCAAACCGGCGCCCTGGCTGAAGCTCTAACCATAGAGCCGACCTCAGGCGAGTCGTCGTTTAGATTTCGCCTCGTCGTTCTTTTTGGCGACTGCGACGAGGAGCGCGGCGGCCGCGCCGGTCGTCGCACTCGGCGCCGCCAGAACCGCAGCGCGCCGCGCGTCCGCGCCCGTTGGGCTGCCTACCTCGCCGGCGGCCCGGCCCGGGGGCCTCCCTCAACTCCCTCTAGCGCCTCTAGGCCGTCGCCATGGACTTGCCGCAGTGGCCCAGGCCGACCCGGGCTAGACCCCTCGCCTTGCACCGCACTTGCCAATAATTTTAACTCGGCCGCCCCGCCCTGTTCCCCCTCGACTCACCGCAGCTCAGTCAGCAGGGACAGCAGCTTGAGGCCGATGAACTCATTGCGCATGCGGATCCGGTCCTGCAGCTGGGGCGTGGAGATGATGAGGCAGTTGATGAAGGCGAGCAGGGCCGTCTGGTAGTCCACGGCGCCCGAGGCGCACGCCGCCTGCAGCTCGGCGACGATGCCCTGAAGGCGGTAGCGCTGGCCCTTGTGTGTCTGGAACGGAACGAAAGGGAACGATCAACGGATCAGCGCGCCAGAAAATGACAAAACAGAGCGAACGTGCCCTCCGCGCCACCGCGGCGAAGACGGAGACGCAGCGGAAAATGGGTGTGACCAGGTCGGCCACGGCACCGTCGAGTTCGTCGAGTGGGTGGCGCGGAGCGCGGAGCAGCGCGGCGGGATATTCATGCCGCTTTTCGACATGGCCGCCCCGCCCCGCCCCGCCGTTTCCCTTGAATGACACCGTCGCCACTTTGCCTCATTGGCTTTCTCTCGTATTCCGTCGAAACTGGGCGACGACAGTCACAAAAGAGCTAGGCCAGGTTTGGGGCGCTTTTTCCAGCCTCTTCAAAAATGGGGCCCTACTCCACTTCCACCCGTCATTACAGCGAACTGAGCAACTTCCCCCTGACCCCCCGGTACTCTGTTCGGAACCAGAACGCGGCATGCGCCTCCAACCCACGCGCGTACAGTGTACACACCCGCCGACCGGAAGTCCGGAAGTGGCGCAGTCCGGCAGCCAATCACCATAAAGCTGGCCGCGCCGCGTCCCTTCGGGGATGCATCAGCGCGACAGGCGCCATGCGACAGGGCTGCCGACTGCCAAACAATTTGTCTCGCCGGCCTTGCGCTTGAACGCTCCAACGGCGAGACAGCCACGCCTCGGTCGGCCTTGCCAACGGAAAGGAAAACCAAGCGCGCGCGGCCTGGGTTCGAATACTGGCGAAGAAGGAACCGTTTTCAATTTTGCTGCCGCTGCTGCTGCCGACTCGCGGCCAGTGCCACTGGCGTCGCAGCGTCGCGGCCACGGCGGGGGGCATTCAGTTAGGGACGCACTGTTGCCGCAGAGAGCTGCTTTGGGCTTTTGATCGAGTGGGCGCCAACGTAATATGACTCACGCACCTTGCCGGCAGTGGGCTGGGCACCGCGCCCCGCCCCGCCCCGCCCCGCCCCGCCGTCCTTGCCGCGCCACAACGCCTTGTGTTGCCTCGCGCCTTTTGGCGGATACATACGCGATGCCAAGCCACTCCATTAGCGGAGTTATAACCACGGTTTTTGGTTGAATAAATACTTATAAGAGCAAAACTCGGGTATAAAACTGTGGTGCTGGTCGTGCCTACCTTGTAGTGCTCCAGCGCGTCGAGCGCGCGCGCGTAGCCGTCGCCATTGTAGACGCACAGCGCGGACAGGAGCTCGAACACCTGCTTCTTGACGAGCGCGTTGGGCGTGTCGAGAGCTGCAAAAGAAACAAATACACGCTGGTAAGACCGAATTCGAAAATCAACACCTTACCGCCTCCCCAGCCAGCAGGTCCTCCGCGTCTTCATCTCGGTGCCCAGCCAGCCCAGCCCGGGTGGGAATCCGAATCCTAATCCTCCATGGACCAAGGAGTATCGCGTTGCGCGGAAAGCCGAAGTCAGGCTGGGAAACGAAACGAGTAGAGAACCCAATCCGCGTATGAAAAATGAAACGCTACCCGGCCCGGCGGGCTGCAAAACGCTTCGCCTGTCTCCGAAACGGCCTGCGTGCGAGATGATGCTGATTCCAAACAGTGGTCTCTCTCTCTCTCTCGTCCCTACAGAACCGGACCACCCTTTGAGTGTGACGGAGATAGAGCGGCGGAGCACTGAGCGGAATCAGCGTGCGAACGCCAGAACCCTCGCAACTGGATGGCCGGCGCGGCGGAGATGCATCTCGCGTGTTCGCGTGTCTGCCACCAGGATGGCGACGGCCAAGGCGACGGCCACGGCGGCGCCGCAGTCTCCGTCTCCACTGGACCGGCGGGCGAGGCGCAACAGACGCAACGCACCACCTCGACCACCGCGAACACCGCGTCGAGTTGCCTGGCATTTCACATGAAGAGACAGGAGGGCGGCGCGTAGGGTTTCAGTATCAGACGAGGGGCCCCCAGGAGGCACATTGGCCAGAGAAATGCTCTTGGCAGTAAAATGCTTTTGGGCGAGAGAAAAGCTCCGAAGTTGGCATCACCTCCAGTAGCGGGGTCCTTAGTCCATTTAGGACAGGTGTGGCCACAAAGTTTTGGCCACAAACGGGGGCGCGCCCGGCGAGCCAGAGGCGTTAGAGGAGCAGACTTCGCCGTCATGAGCGCGCACGCACACACACACACACACACTCACAAACACGCGCACGCATCCACGGCGTAGTGATCAGGGGCGGCCTTGACGGCGCCTCCAAACACGCATCTCCCGTTTTCCACTCGTTTCCTGACTCGCCTTCATAACGCCGTGCGTGGATGGCGTGGCGTGTGGCGTGTGCCCGTCCAGGCGTTCGTTGACACCGTTCAAGAAAAACCCGCCGCGCGGCGGCGCTCTCCAGAGTTTCGCGCCATTTTCGCGTGCTTTTCGGGTCCTCCGTTTTTCGCCCTCCGAAAGCCATTGCCAATCAGTCGGCGGCCGCGGCGTAGAGAACGCGGCAGAGAACGCCCCCGAGGAAAATGAGCTTCATCGCCGTGCTGGCCCGGCTCGCGTTTCTTCGGGGAACCAGCCAGGGCAGGCCGGGCAACCTGGGCAAGCAGCGCAGACCGCGCTGACTCAATGTATTATATCGCCGCGGACCGGAGCGGGGCGGAGCCAAGCGGGAGCCGCCGGGACACGCCGAGATTCGTCCACTTTTTTACCAACTTTGGTCCCAAAATCGTTGCGGTCAAAGGCAAAATCGTTGTGGTCAACGTCTTCCCGATGCAGGGCATGAAAGAGTAGGGTCTTAAGAATACTAGGACGTCGAGGGAGGCCTTTTACGGCTACTAGATTGGACACAGTGGCCACCCAAAGTCAGCAAAATCAGCAAATTTCCGAGATTCGACCACTTTTTGACCAACTTTGGTCCCAAAATCGTTGCGGTCAACGGCAAAATCGTTGTGGTCAACGTCTTCCCGATGCAGGGCATGAAAGAGTAGGGTCTTAAGAATACTAGGACGTCGAGGGAGGCCTTACGGCTACTAGATTGGACACAGTGGCCACCCAAAGTCAGCAAAATCAGCAAATTTCCGAGATTCGACCACTTTTTGACCAACTTTGGTCCCAAAATCGTTGCGGTCAACGGCAAAATCGTTGTGGTCAACGTCTTCCCGATGCAGGGCATGAAAGAGTAGGGTCTTAAGAATAATAGGACGTCGAGGGAGGCCTTTTACGGCTACTAGATTGGACACAGTGGCCACCCAAAGTCAGCAAAATCAGCAAATTTCCGAGATTCGACCACTTTTTGACCAACTTTGGTCCCAAAATCGTTGCGGTCAAAGGCAAAATCGTTGTGGTCAACTTCTTCCCGATGCAGGGCATGAAAGAGTAGGGTCTTAAGAATACTAGGGCGTCGAGGGAGGCCGTGGGCCGCAACTAGATCGGACGCAGTGGCCGCTACTTTCGGAGATTCAATCACTTTTTGACCAACTTTGTGACGTTACTGGTCCCAAACCCGAAGGCCCCGGCAGATTTTTCTGCCTGTCTGCCCTGGCCAGTCCGAGCCTGGGCCAGGGCACTGTGAGGACCAATTCGGGACCAATGGTCGGACGGCGGCCGAACGGACTCGGAGCGTTATGAGGTCCGGCCATTCGTCCGCAGAAAGCTTAGCTCTGTATCTCGAGTGGCTTTGCACCGACACAGGTCGCCACCTAGCCGCGGACAGTCGCCGCTGGGCGTGTGTTCAGGTACATGCCGCGACCGCGCCCCGCCACGGCGACGGTAGCGCTTGCAAGGACCAAGGACTTCCAGCATATCCTTGGAGCAAATACCTTCTCGTGCCGCGCCATGGCGACAGCCAATGCGGCTCGGCGTGGAAGCGGAAGGCGGGGAAAGTTGCAACGAAGAGGAGGACGCGCGAGGCGGAATAAGCGCGCCGGGGGAAGTCCCATTCCTACGAAAACGCGACCCTTTTCCGCGCGCGGTTTATTATCGATCAGAACCGCGGCGAGACCTATTTGCCCGCGGCCCTCAACATGTCAACAACAACAACAACAATCGAGGCGGGTCAGCCAGCGGTGCGGGCAAGCCGTGGCAAGCCGGGGCAGGCGCGCCATCGTAAAAGTCATCTCGCTGTCGGCCAGTGTCGGCCACCAGGGCAGGCGGGCAGGACGGGCAGGGCCGGCAACGCGGGCAGGCATTGTAATAATAAGCAAGGCTTGCGTGAGTGTGAGGTCTGCGAGGTCTGCGAGTCTGAGGTCGTCACACTGTCTGCCGCGCGATTGGCCGCCGTCATTGTGCCACGGAGATGGCGATGGCAGCGCCGGGCAGCGCGATGGCACGCAGATTCAGATTCAGATTCGAGTCCCCGCATCGCGGCCTGAGCCTGAGGCGCGGCCTTTGGCTCCGCCTTTGGCTTTGCCGCCGCCTCGCGTCGTGCCGCGCGATTAGTCCGGGATCACCGCGGCCGAATCGGACGGGGTCGACGTCGACCTGCCCGAAGGACCCGCGGGGACCCGCGGGGCGTGGCACCGGAAACGCCACCTTGCCCGTGCCGTGCCGCCGTGCCGCCGTCGGCGTGCCCCCTCCTGACAGCTTGCCGCAGGCCGAGCCGAGTGTGTTAGCAGCAGGGCTCCCCTGCGGAACCAAGGGAACCACCGCCTTGAGCCTCCCGGGCACCTCCTCGACACCTTCTCTGCAAAGCTTCTGCGCAGAGCGTGCCCCCCCGGCGGCCCTGCCGGGACGCCTGGAACCAGCCTGGAGCTCCCCCTCCCCCTTTCCCCGGGGGGATGCAGCAGTGGCCATGTGCGGAAATTATACATGTAAAACGAGGAGCGGATGCACTGCGGAGAAAACACGCTCATGATCGGCATGAAGGCGGCCGGCAAGGGCGTGCTGTCGCCCCGCCCCGCCCCGCCTCGGAGAAACGGGCGAGATGGATAGTCATTATCGCGGCCCTTCCGCCGTCGGCAACCCCTCGTTACGGCCACTTCGCACTCGCCGCCCTCGACAACGTCGTTGTCGTCGTCATGGTCGGTTTCAAGGTGTCCGAGGCAGGATCGGGGCTCAGTTGGAGGAGTCCGCGGGGACGGCGTCTCATCTGGCAACACTGACGCCGCGCCGCTCCCCGCCGCCAGTGCTCCGCTGCCCCGCGCTCCGGTCCGCAGTGCACGCCCACGTGGAGACCGCGGCGCGGACCGCCCCCCTCCCCCTCCCCCCTTTCATCTGTCCGAAAGGCTTTTAGGCTTTGCCTCCGTTCTACATCCCGCGCGCCTTCGCCTCGCTTCGCCTTCTGCCCGCTGCGACCGAATTCGACCCGGGGATCGCAGTGCCGTGCATGCCGTGCAGTGCGCCCAGTAGGTGGCCGAAGGGAGGAGGGAGGGCGTAGCAGCGCGGCGCGGAGACCGGGGGAACCGGGGGAAAGGGGGGGGGGGGTAGGCCGGGGATCCTCGACTTCATCCAGAGCTAGCGATCGATCTAAGAATACAAATTAGCCGTCGGGCCCAACCCAGTCTGGGGTATCAGCCAATCAGTGTGGCTCCCCGGCCATGCAAACAATCCCGAATCAAAACACAAACATTAGCACATTTTTAATAAGTAATAAAAGCAGAGCAACAAAAACAACCGTCACAAAAAATTTGAGAAAATGATGAAAACATGTTGGGTGTCTTACCTGCGGCAAGCTTCTGCGTGTACTCCGGGTTCTCGACGATGTAGTCCAGGCCATAGCGTGACTCCGAAGCCATCCTGGGACGGCGACCGCGGCGACCTCACCCCGACCCGGCGTGCCCGGCGTCGATCTGCGGCAGACACAGGCTGGGCTTAGGAGGAGGCGAATCCGAGGGTCGCATCACACACGTCGGCCAGCCGGCTCATTCCGAATGTCTCTGTCTCTCTCGCACTCATGGGGCGTTCCGTGCAGGTGCGAGAGAGACAGCGCCTCTCGGAATCAGCCGACACGTCTCATATTGAAAGAGGCTAATCGGGAGGGCCGTCTGCCGGCCAGCCCGGGCCAGCCTCCTCCTCGGGGACCACGTCGATGGACGTCAGGACGTCGGTAGGCCACACACGCCGGTAAGGACACCGATCGGCAGCAAATAAACCGAGAAGATAATTGTTGTTTTGGAACGCGGGGAATGAGGCTGTCACTTTTTTTCCGCGGCCGCCACGAAGTGCGTGCGACTGCAGCGCGGCGGCCGCGGCCGGCCGGCTGTCTCTGTCGCACTCTCGGTCCGTCCCGCGGGGGTGCGAGAGAGACAGAGCGACGAATGGCTCGCCAGGCCGCACGGCGGTAGAGCGGCAGAGCGGCGGCCGGGGCGTCCGCGTAGCGTCCCTACATGGGGATGCGGCCCTGGCCTCATCGGCGGCCCGACTTACACTCCGAGAGGAAATGGAGCCAGCCCAGGCCAGGAGCCAGGCCAGCCGCGCGCCGCGCCAGGTGCACGTCGAACGCGTCGAACACTCGGACCGCTGCGATGGACGATCGGCCGATCGATCGGACCCCAAAAATGTCCGCGCCCCGACCGCGGACCGCGGCACTACGCAGAGGCACCGCCAGCATATGCAGCAGACTGATTCCGAGTTTCGTTTTCGTCGCTCTGTCTCTCTCGCACTCATGGGGCGTCCCGCATAAGCGCGAGAGAGACAGAGCGACGAAAACGAGTCTCGGAATCAGTCTGCTGCATCTGCCGCCGCCGGTCTGGAACACGCGTACCGCGGCGCCATGTACAGCTGCCCATCTGGAACTGAAGGTCCGCGCCGAACCGCTGCGGGGCGTGCCCGAGGCGTGCCCCTGCCGCCAATCACCCCGCGGTGCAATCACCGCTTGCGCAACATGGTAAGTTTATTTTTCGTCGAGATTTCTCACATTGTTGCACCTGCTTGTCGTCCACGGCCACGCGATTAACCAGCACCGCGGTGGCGCCGCGCCCCGCCCCACCCCGCCACGCGCTGCACTGTGCACACAGTCTTAACGATTCAATTATCACCAGCCAGCGCGCCAGGTGGGGAGTCGACGAGTCGGCTACGCCAGGCTGCCAGGCAGTCCATAAAACGCTCATAATCGCAGTTATTACAAACACACGCTAACCCGGCGTCTGCTCCCGTCCGGTCTGTCCGAGGATGTGCCGGACACCGCGGCGTGACGCCGTGCCCAGGGGGATTGGGGACTCGAGCTTCGAGCTCCGCGCTCGGACAATAACCGAGCGCCCACGCGCGCACCTGTGAGCCGAGCCTGTGGCCCGCACGGCGCGCCCCAAGTTTGCACGCGTGACGTCACGCTGACGTCACGGAACGGTTCGCGGAGTCGCGAAGCCCACCTCCCGCTCCCACTTCCCCCGACCGAATAGTGTGGGAGCGCGGCTGGCGCCTGCCGTCGCCGTCGCGTCACATCCCGTCGTGCGTCCCCGCGGCCGCCACCGCCACCATGCCGCGCCGCCACCGCCTCGGACGGCGACGCAGCGTCCGCCGCAGCCCCGCCTTTGCAGCCTTTGCCTCGCCGACGGCCTTGTGTTGTGTCGCTCGCCGCGCTCGCCGCAGTCCGCCGAGTTCCATCCTCGCGAGAGAAAGGAGAGGACCAGCAGCGAATGACTCCAAAGAGTCGCCGCGTCGCCCTGCCTCTCTCGCACTCACGGGGCGTCCCGTGGGAGTGCGGCAGAGGCAGGGCGACGCGGCGACTCTTGGAAATCGCCCGGTAGCAGGGCCCGGAGCATGCCCCTTTGTGCAGTCCGGCGAGTCCAGCCCAGTCCTCGGTCCTCGCGGCAGAGGCCCGACAGTGCAGGCGCGCAGGCACGCGGCCGCGCTGCGCCGAGCATGCGGTAAAGGGCCTAAAGGGCCTCACAATGGCAGGGGCCTGGCAACCCCTGCGCGCTGCGCGCCGCTGCCGGGGGCCCCGCCCCCTTGGCCCCGTGGGCCCCGTGGGCCCCATGGGTCCCTTGGGTCGCGACGGTCAGCTTCGTGACTGCAGCGCCGCGTTGCGCCACGCCGCCAACCATTGCGTATTGTTTATACGGCCACTATAGACGACACTCTTTGCGAGCCTTATACCCCTCGCCCGCCGCGATGAGGCCCCCCCCCCCGCGCGTGTGTCAGTAAGTGTGAGTGTGTGTATGTGTGTCCCTGTGCGGTCCGCGCTGCCAAAACTTGTTACGCACGCCGTGGGCGGAGCGCGCCGCGCGGAGTCGTGAGTGTGTGTGTGTGCTTCCAGTGGCGTAGTCACTTCCAGGGCGGCGCCGCCGCTGCGCTGGTGCTGGCCGTGGCGGTGGAGACCCCCTTCCCTGCTGCCTGCCGTCGCCGTCCCGTCCAGGGGACTGGGGGGACCCCCGCTGCTCCGCCGCTGGTCCCCGCCCCACCCCGCCTCCTCCTTGCAGTGCTGCGGCGACGCTGCGGCGTGCCTCGGCAGTATGAGTGGGCTCGCAGCAAATTGATACACTTTGCTGTTTCCCCCGTGCATCCCCTCCCCCTTCCCTTCCCTCCCCGCGGACGGCGCGGCGCTGTCGGCCCGCCCCGCGCCCAAGTCTCCGCGCGGCACGGCGACGCGGCCGCCGTCGCGCACTTGTTGAAGCCGAGTCCCGAACAGCGACGCCGTCGCCGAAAGAAATCCAGCTGCGGCGCGAAGTGCGTGGCGCTGGCTGGCTGGTTGATTCCCGAGTGCTTCGTCACTCTGTCTCTCTCGCACCCCTACGGGGCGCCCCATGAGTGCGAGAGAGACAGGGAGCCTGCCGGCGGCGCTGTTGGCGCCCGAAGCTGGACACCGGAAGGGATTTCTCGCGATGACGACCGTCTCGTCGGATCAGATCATTCATTCGGCGGGCATGTCGTGCTGCGCGGCGAGAGAGACGCCGACGCCCCGCTGCACCGCGCAATTAGCCAACGTTTTTCTCGTCACTCCGGCGGTAGCAGGCTCATTCCCAAACGCTCCGTCTCCCTCGCACTCACGGCTCGTCGCCTCGGGGCGCGAGGCGCGAGAGAGACAGAGCCAAGCACTGTTCTTCGGAATCACTTGGCGGAGGAAACGCAAACAAAACCACCGCGCGATAAGTACACACGCGACGACAGTCCGGGAATGGATTGGAGCATTTCATCGGCTGCGCGCAGCGAGTGCATAGCACAGTGTAGCCGGAGAGAAGAGCAAGAAAAACGCAACCACGTGCTGGATGACAACCTGCCTCTCGCGCTGCTTAACCTCTGCCTGCCTGTCTGCCTGCGGCGCGGTGCGAGGCGGCGCGGCGCGCCCCGGAAGGCGAGCATTACGCCAAAGGCAGCCGAAGGCGTGGGCGGCAAGGCAGTCAGGCCTACCAACACGTAGCGTCGCGTAGCGTGGAGCCGCAGCGACAAAAAACAGCGGTACCAACCGCAGAGTCAACCATGGCGCGGAGGGACGAAGGACACGAGGACCTCTCGCTTCCTGCGTGTCAGTGTAGCCTTCCGCTCACTGACCTCTTTATTTGTTGTGTTCCTGCCTTCCTCGTTGCCGATTTGGCGCGCAAAGTGTCGCCCAGCCCTTGCAGTGGGGGCCACGCCGTGCCCCCGGTGCCCGCGGTGGGGCGATCCCTGCTGCACGACCCGGGCTGTGCCGGGCAACGCCGGGCAACGCCGGCCAATGGGCAGTCGCCTTAGCGGGTGACAACCCGGGCGCGGTGCTCCGCTGCTCTGGCGATAGCAGAAAGAACGGGGACACCCTCACCTTCCTGGTTACCCGCCAAAAACACTTCCAGAGTCACACCCGCGCGGTGGTCACCACCAGCCCACGGCCGCCGAACAAGCATTGGTGGGCTTCGAAGGGCTCCGTGTAGCTCCGCGTCGACATCGATACCCCGATCGTCCACTAGTTCGCCGGGGCCTTCCTTGACGGCGACACGGCGCGCGGCGTCGCGCAGGCCGACCTTGTCATATGAGCGATCCCCCCCCCTCCCCCCTGCAGTGTGCAGCCCTGAGTCAGGCCGAGCAGCCTAATGCCAGAGCGGCCACCTTCCATATAGGGCCAAAGCTAACAGGCTGCCAGCCCTGCCCGCCCGCCTGCTAGTACTGCCCCGGACAACACACACACAAGGCAGCCCACATTTTTTTTGTTTCGGCAGTTTTTTTCGTGTGTAGGATTGCAGCACCAGGGTGGTCTTGGACGCGCAGTTTGGGTCACGTGGCCAACGCGACGCGCGCGGCCGCACCTCCCATCCGCCGCCTCATTCCGCGTGTCTGCTAGAGTGCCGTCTCTCTCGCACAGCTACGTGGCGCTGCACGAGTGCGACAGAGACAGACGCGAGAGTGGAAACGCCCCGCCGCAGACATCTGCATACGTCGGGTGGCCTACCCACCAGGCGCTCGCGGCGCCCACAGCGCCGAAATGCTGCGCCGAAACGCGGAGCACACGACGAAGGCCTTGCTCCAGCACGCCTTGGCGAGGCCCCTTCATTCGGGGCGGAATATATATGCAGCCTGCTGGGTCTGCGTTACAATGCGAGTATATGGGGACCCATCCAGTCACAGTCAGCACACCAACAGCAGTGCCCCACGCCCGCCCCGCCTCGCCCCGCCTCGCCGCAGCTCCTTGCGGCCTTAGCGTCCCCGCCCCGCCCCGCCCCGCCCGACCATGGGGGCGCACGGTCAACGCCTACAGCACCGGGACGAGACGGACGCGCGGCACGGCCGGCACGGCGTGGAGTGGCCCGGTACTCTGCGGCAAAACGGCGCCGTCGCCAATTTTCGCTCAACAAAGTTCAACGCTAGGAGTGTTGGAAGCGCGTCAGTCACTCGAGGATCTCCTAGGAACTCGCCGCACGCAGTGCCACGGCGTGCCACGCAC